TTATTTCTTTGGGATAAATGCCCAGGTCTGCAATTTCTGGGCCGTACAGTAGATGCATGTTTGGTTTTATAAGAAACTACCAAACAATTTTCCAGAGTGGCTGACCATTTTACATTCCCACCAGCAATGTATGAGGGTTCCAGTTTCTCTGCATTCTTGCCAGTTTTTGGTGTTGTCACTATTTTTCATTTTAGCTGCACTGGTATCTCATTGTGGTTTTAATTTGCATTTCCCTAATGCCTAAAGGTTTTGCACATCTTTCCATGTGCTTATTTGTCATCTGTATATCCTCTTTGGTGAACTCTTTCTTCGTATCTTTTGCTCATTTTCTATTGCATTTTTTGTTTTTATATTGTTGAGTTCTGAGAGTTCTTTATATAGTCTAGATTCTAGGCTTTTGTCAGGTATGTAGTTTCCAAATATTTTTTCCCAGTCTGAAGCTTTTCATCTCCTTAATGAATCTTTCACAAAATGCAAGTTTTTAATTTTGGTGAGGTACAATTTTTCCTTTTATGAATTGTGCTTTGGTGTCAAGTTTAAGATCTCATTGCCTTGCCCTTGATCCTGAAGACTTTTATCCCATGTTTTTTTCCTAAAAATTTTATAGTTTTACATTTTATGTTCAGGTCTGTGATACATTCTAAGTTAATTTTTGTGTAGTGTGAGGTTTAGGTTGAGGTTATTTTTTTTGTCTGTGATATCCATTTGCTCCAGCACCATTGGTTGAAAAGGCTCTCTTTCATCCATTGAATTACTTTTGCACCTTTGTAAAAAAAAAAAAAGCAATCACTGGGCATCTTCGTGTGGGTCTATTTCTGGGTTCCCTATACTGTTCCGTTATGGTATGTGTCTGTCCCTCCACACAGTCTTTATTCTTGTATCTATGCAATAAGTCTTGGTATCAGATGGAATGATTTCACCTGCTTTATCTTTTTCAAAATTATTTTAGCTATTCTGGTTCCTTTGTCTTTCCATATAAATTATAGAATAATCTTGTCTATATCTACAAGAAAATCTTGTTGGGATTTTGAAAGGAATTATGTTAAATATGTATCTCGATTGGGGGAGTTGACATCTTTACTATGTTGACATTTCCAATCTGTGGACATGGTATGTCTCGCCATTTATTTAGATCTTCTTTGCTTACTTTCCCCAGCTGTGTGTGGTTTTTGGCATCCTTTGTCAGATTTGTACCTAATTCTTTTGTTTTTTGAGGGATGTAAGTGGTGGTGTATTTTTAACTTTGGTATCAACGTGTTTATTGCTGGTGTATAAATATACATTTGATTTTTTGTATGTTGATTTTAAATCCTGTTATCTTGACAAACACACTTATTAGTTCTAGGTGTTTTTTTTTTTTTTTTTTTTTTTGTAGAGTCCTTGGGTTTTTCTACATGGACAGTCCTGTCATATGCAAATAGGGTCAGTTTTACTTATTCCTTACTGATTGATATGCCTTTTATTTCCTTTTCTTGCCTTATTTCACTGGCTGGAACTTCCAGCACTATGTTGAATAAGAGTGATGAGAACGGGTATGCTTGCCTTGTTTCTCATCTTGGAAAAGCACTCAGTTTGATGTTAGCTGTAGGTTTTGTATATGCTCTTTACCAAGTCAAGGAAGTGCCTTTCTATTTCTGTTTTTCTGATTCCTGCTTTTTATCATGAATGAGTATTGATTTTTGTCAAATCCTTTTTCTGTGTCAGATTGATATGATTCCATTGTGACTGGAGAACACACTCTATATGATTTCAGTTCTCTTAAATTTGAAGGGGTTTGTTTTGTGGCCTAGGATATGGTCTGTCTGGGTAGATGTTCTGTGAGTGCTGGAATGTTTCTTCTGCTGTTGAGTGGAGTGTTCTGTGAATGTGGATTAGATCCCATTGGCTGATGGTGTTGTCAGGTTCTTCTATATCCTTGCTGATTTTCTGTCTGATTGTTCAATCAATTGTTGACAGGAGGATGTTGAGATTTCCAGGTCTAATTGTGGATTTCTCTGTGTCTGTTTTCAGTTCTATCTGAGTTTGAGTCATCTATTTTGCAGCTTTCTTGTTTGGTACAAACACATTTAGGATTGCTCTGTCTTTTTGGTGTATTGACTCTATATAATGTCCCTTTCTCTGGTAGCTTTCTTTGCTCTGGAGTGTACTCTATCTGCTGTTAATATGGCCATTCCTGCTTTCTTTGGATTAATGTTTGCATGACGTATCTTTTTCCATCTTTTTTCTTTCTGCCTGCCTGTATCGTTACATTTGAAGTGAGGTTTTTTGTAGACAGCAGATAGTTGTCATGTTTTTAAATCTACTTTGTTAGTCTGGGTCTTTTAATTGGTGTATTTAGAACATTTACACTTAAGATGATTATTGGTATATTAGGACTTTAGTCTGCCATTTTTTATTTTGTTTTCTGTTCTCTGTTTTTCATTTCTATTTTCTTATCCCTGCCTTCCTGTGGGGTACTTGAATATTTTTGAGAATTGTATTTTGACTTATTTATAATGTTTTTGAGTGTATCTCTTTATTTAGTGTTTTTAGTGGTTGCTCTAGGTTTTCATTCCATATACATAACTCATTGCAGTCTACTGGTGCTGTCATTTTACCAGTTCAAGGGAGGTGTAGAAACCTTACCTCCTACCTCCCTTTACTCTCCCCTAGTTACCATGTAATTAAATAGTTCCTCTACATACATTTTGAACCACATCAGACATTGTTAAAATTTTTATTCCAAGTATCACATAATTTAGAAAAATCAAGAGAAGGAAAGCCTATTGTATTTGCCTGTATTTTTGATTGCCATGTGTTTTTCTTCCTCCTTGGTGTCCCAGGGTTCTTTTTTTTAAAAAATCATTTCCTTTTTGTTTAGAGAGCTTCTTTAGTAATTCTTTAAGGGTATGTCTACTGGTGACAAATTCTCTTAGTTTTGCTTCATCTGCGAATGTCTTGATTTTGCCTTCATTCCCGAGGGATATTTTCATTGGGTATAGGATTCTGGGTTGACAGTCCTTTTTCTTTCAGCACTTAAAAATTATTGTGCTGCTTCCTCTGACCTCCATGATTTTTGACGTGAAATCCACTGTCATTCAAATTGTTTTTCTCCTATAGGTAAGGTGTTGTTTTTCTTTCGCTGCTTTCAAGATTTTGTTCTGTGTCTTTAGTTTTCAGAAGGTTTCTTTGTTTTTTTCCCGTTTGGGGTTTGCTCAGGTTCTTGAATCTATAGAATTTTATCTTCTGCCAAATTTGGGAAAATGTCAGCCTTTATTCCCTGTAATACTTTTTCGGCCCAGCCCTCTCCCTCCTCTCCTTCTGGCACTCTGTTGACATGTGTGTTAGGTCTTTTGTTAGAGTCCCACAGGCCCCTGAGGCTCTGTTCATTTTTCCCCCCCAGTCTCTTTTCTCTCTGTTGTTCAGAGTAGGTAATTTCTCTTGCTCTGTCTTCATGTTCACTGATTCTTTCCTCTTTCATCTCCATTCTTCTGTTTAGCTCACCCACTTTGCTTATTTTGATTATTGTATTTTTCATTTCTAAAATTTCCATTTTGTTCTTTATATCTTTGTTGAATCTTTCTACATTTTTCATTTGTTTCTAGTGTATTCATAACTACCTGTTGAGGCATTTTTATCATGGCTGCATTAAAACCTTTGTTAGGTAGTTCTAACATCTCTGTCATCTCAGTGTTGACATCTATTCATTGTCTTTTTTCACTCCGTTTGAGAAATTCTTTGTTCTTGGTATGATGAGTGATAGTTGAAATCTGGGCATTTTTGTGCTATGTTAGAACACACTGGATCTTATCTGATGTCTGTTCTAGCTGACTTTCTCTGATACCACTCTGGCAAAGGAAGTAATATTAGGTGGAGGTAGAAGTCCAGCTTTCTTACTTGGTCTCTGTTGACACTCAAGGTTGGGTCTCCTTGTTCCTGCTGGATGGGCTTGGGAGTTCCTGCTCCTCGCATAGTTTCCCACTGACATGCAGTGGGAGTGGCTTTTGACCACTGGGTGGTAGTGAAAGTCCTGATTCTGACATTCCCCCAGTGGGGAGTTTGGAGGGGGCGCCTCTCTACTGCTGGGTGGCAGTGGAAGTCCAGGCCCCTCGCTTGATCGTCACTGACACCGTGGGATGGGTGGTGCGATTTGTTATCACCCAGTGTGGATGAGGTTCCAGCTCCTGGTTCATCTTCCCTAATACTACTCCAGTGAGTGGGTTGGGATGCCTCTTTACAGCCTGGCCAGTGGAAGTCTAGGTTCCTCACTTGGCCTTTCCTGGCACAGGTAGGAGTGGGGCCAGAGTTTTTCTGTGGAGTTTGGCTGGAGTAGAGTGATTATTGTCTGAAGTTTTCTGTCTTGCTAGGCTTCCCTTTTCCCAGTCCTTTGAGCACGCCTTCCTTGGGGCTTTGTCCTCTCCATTTGTTGGTGTTTCTAAGTTACTGGCTTCTCCGGCTCCAAGTCTGGAATATATGAGGCACAAAAAAACCCAGGGAACTCGGCACACTGTCATTCCTTGGGTTCTGAAGTTGCTCGCTTGTCTTTTGCTGTCTTTCCAAGCTTTCTTACCTTTGTCTCATATACAGCGTGCAGAGGTTTTTGTTGTACTCAGCCAGAGGAACAGGGAAAAGTACCTTTACTTTGTCTTCCCAGAAGTGGAATCTCCTTTTTCATGGGGTAGAGAATCCTGTGTTGACATTTTTAATACTTGAAAGATGTTACTCCACTGTCCTCTGTCTTGTGTTGTTTCTGACAAGGTCTCTTGTCAGTTTTACCTTTGTTCCTATGTACATAATGTTTTTATCATTGTTCTAAGCAATCAGACTGAGCGGTCCTTTGTGTAATTTTCTTTATGTTTCTTCTGTTTGGGGTTTGTTGAGATTCTTAAATCTGTAAATTTACTGTTTCAAATTTGCATAACTTTGAGTCATTTAAAAAAACTTCTGTTTATAACATCCCTTGATGTGTATATAGAGTCATATTTTGCTAATTTGGAGGATTATCATCTGTTATCTTTCAGGTCATGCAGAAGGATTTTGTATGATGTGTACAATGCAAGCACATATCACCCAGGCACTCAGTAATCCTGGGGATGTTATTAAACCGATGTTTGTCATTAATGAGATGCGGCGTAAGTATCATCTACAGTAGTTTACATTAGTATTTACTAGCTAGTTGGTCTTATTAGCCTAACTGGTAAAAATGAGTCCCTGTGTATGACAAAAAACAAACATTTTATCATACACGGATATGTCTTTAATAACAAATTTTAGTGAAACATTTACTATGTAAACACACTCGAAACCTTAAAGCAAAAGATGACAATATAATGCAGACAGTATTCAGTTTAATATAAGCAAATTTAAAATTTTTTAAAAACTCAGTTAATAAAAGCATTAAGTTTTACAATGATTTTTCCTCCCTAGATATTTGGATTTCTCTGCTGAATAATACTTCCTCTAATATTGTTCCACGGGTTTAAGTAGTTTTCAATTAATTTTAATTCAGTGAATGAATATTACATTATACATAGTGAGAGGAATTATCAAAATAAAGTTAATTATACTCTTAAAGAAAAATTCATACTCATAACAGCAAATTCGTGGATAAATTTCACTTTTACTATTTAAATTCTAAATGATTTTACAATTTTCTTTTGCATTGGAATGATCCTGATAGTTTACATGAAATTTTTTATACACTTTGTGTGTTTTTTGCAATAAGCTTTTACATCATCTCAGTTGACTGACTTGGAGTAAAAAATGCATGCAAATAAAAAAACCCTGACTCTTAATCTGGTATCTAGCTGGGTAATTATAGGGGTAGATAATTATACAGTGACAATGTATAATCCTTTTGCCTAAAAAGCTGCTGAAGATTAAAAGGTGTTATATTGGCCCCTTGGCGCTATTAACAGACCAGAGGAGACAATGCAAAAATTTTTTAAACATTGTCGGATCCTGGCAAAATTTTAGCCAACAGTGATTTTGTTTGTTTATATATGCATGGCAGGCGTGATTAGTATTTTTAAAGCTACTCTTTAAGAAAATGTCATTGCTCTATGTTTGTGTATACATAATCCACAAACATGCACACAAACACACACACACACATATACATACATATGTAGTTGAATCTTGAAATTGCCATTTTTGTAGGTCAGAACTGGTGAAATATTGGCAATATCATATGATTCAAGCTAATGTATATTTGTATAGTTCATACACAAAATTCTATATATAATGTTTTATCATGATATTATTTGTACTTTTGTGTCGTTTTTATTATTATATAATTTTGTATTGCAACTGTGTAGTCAATTAGAAACAGGACTGAAATGTTGCTGTGCAACTGACCGTGTAACATGTTCTGTGGGTTATTGGGATGGAATTTACATAGGTTCAGACATTTATGTTTTGCATGGCTTCTCTTAGGGAGATCTGGCACCAAATTTAAGATGTGTGCACTACCATAAGATTGTCAACAAATTTCTGAGACAATACAGCCAAAGTGAATTTATTCAAGTATAATTTTATGAACTTGCTGAAGATGGTTGAGTCTCTGGGCTCTCAGAAACTCTAGCCAAGATGGGCTTTTCATGGTCTAAAGGGCATGATCCTAGCTGCTCTCAGGGTGGGGTTAGTGCTGTTTCCTCATAAAATAATTATCAAAAGTTTTCTAACCAACATACTGTCATAAGATACAACTTTTGGAGGGTACAGCCTGGGCATATCATATGTGATGATAAACCTTTGTTCTTCCTTAAACTTTCTAGGAATAGCTAGGCACTTCCGCTTTGGAAACCAAGAAGATGCCCATGAATTTCTTCAATACACTGTTGATGCTATGCAAAAAGCCTGCTTGAACGGCAGCAATAAGTGAGTACAATACGACAGAGCATCGCTCACTTCTCCCCCTGCGTTGCCGGCTCGCCAGAATTCAGTTCTGCCTTTTACGATGAATGTAGCAGGCGCTGTGTTTGCGTCAGCTCTTCACTTTGTACTGCGTCTTCCTCAAGTGATTTGCATTATTTTAAAATGGTTCACATTCTAAAAGGTGCGCTTACTATAACAATTTGGATTTTATTATAGATGATTATAGATGTCAGGAAATGAATATTGGTCTTGCCATTATTAATTGCTGAGTATCAGCATCCCTCTGCAGATCTAAAACTAATGACTTCTCCTTTCTAGTTGTGCCTGACATTTTCTCTGTTGACCTCCAGCCCCTGAAATCTGTATTTGTTCCCTGCGTCTTTCTCCCTCTGGTCAGTTACCAATTCCTGCAGTTTCTTCCTTAAAATCTAAGCGCAGACTCAAGAGGAAGATTGGAGAAGCAGTTAGATAGCAAGTCCTGCCCCACCTGCTGTTGCCTGAACACGCCTGGTAAATCTGTCCTATTCACATGGCTGCCAGTGCTGCCTGGCCAGGTGTCCGTCGGTCTGTGTGACGGTTGACGGCAGAACAGAGGAGAACACGGCACGCTGTCACCAGCCAGTCCTCACACTGTCACAGTCCTGCTCAGGGCGTCTTCCTCTTGCTGCTTGCTTCAGGGCCCAATTCCTGCCTTCATTTCAGAGTCCCTTCCTAATATTATCCTCCCTCCCCGACCCTCACTGTGGTCTGTTCCGGCAAGACTGTTCTCTGGCTGCCACGTATACTGATGTATTTTTATTTTGTGGCTCTCCTGTTTGAATTCTCATTCTTTTATAGATGTACGTGCTTTGAAAATCTGATCGTAGTGTTGGTACTTTTTGTAGAACTCTTCTCTCACATTACTCTTCGACTGTTTTTCAGATTAGATAGACACACCCAGGCCACCACACTCGTTTGTCAGATATTTGGAGGATACCTAAGATCTAGAGGTAAACTTTTGTTTAAAAGTTGATAAAGTGATGCCTGCATGTGGTTTAGGAAGGGCAAACAGTAGGAAAGAGTTAATAACGCAGACTGGGTCTCCCTTCCAGCCCAGACCCCATCCCTCTTCCCCAACGGCAGCCCCCGGCCCACTTGTAGTCTATCCTTCCAGTGGTGTCCTGTGCACAGGCAGACTGGGAACACACTAGGTACACCCCTTTCATTTCTGTTAGTGTTCGAAACCCTTTCACAGTTCAGCACATATAGGGCTGACAGTCTTTCACACTTGCAGTGGTAGGCCATTTATTTTACTTCCCTATCAGTGGATATTTAGGTTGTTTCTAATTTTTTTGTTGTTGTTACCATCATTGCTTCATTGAACATCCTTGTACACATGCCTTTATGTCCATATAGAAGTGTATATATGTAGGATAAACTCTTAGTATTAGAATTCTTGCATCAAAGGGTGTGTGTATTTTAAATTTTGGTACTGCCATATTGTCCTTCCAAAAGCTTATACCAGTTCACCTTACAGCCAACAGTGTGTGTGGGCCAAATTCATGACACTTTGACTCACGCTGTGTAGTATTAAGATTTTTTGCCCAATCTAAGAGGAGGAAAATGTACCTTGTTTTAATTTATTATTTTGAAATAGCATTTTGTGTTCTGTCATTTCAGTGGTTGGTGTTGCCACAATGATTACACTTTGCTCATGCTTTGCATTTTGTTTTTATTTCAGTCAAATGTTTAAATTGCAAAGGTGTCTCAGATACTTTTGATCCATATCTTGATATAACATTGGAGATAAAGGTAAACTTCATCATTGTTGTGGTAGTTAAGTTGAAAAAAATCAGTCATACTTTACATAACTTTATGTATTTATAGTTCATTTATAATGTAGACTACACTTGTTAGAGAATATGAATTGAAAATTTCATATGCTAAGACTTTATTTAGAGGTGACTGTTTAAGCTTTGCAATAGGCATCACTCAATCTTTTTTATTACCCTTTGACTTCTCATTAATACATCTTAATAAAACCAGATTCTAATGCCAATATTAGCCAAATTTAGATGGGGATTATTCTATAGAAAATGTTTTGCTTCTTGCATTTTCCAAACTCCTATTTTTTGTTGTTCTTAAGCTTTTCTTTTTCTGATTGCAAGTGTAATACATGCTTGTGATGAAGCTGAGAAACATTGCAGATATGTATAAGATCCCTTTCCACCAAATGAATTCTCGTGAACTCTGACATAAACTGTTCCAGAACACATTATTTGCTGTTTATAAAAATGGGATTACACCTCATGTCTGTTTGGCCACTTGCTATTTTCACTGAAGTCTCCTTGAGGCCCTCTGTGGGCTCTGGCAGTGCTGTGGCGGTCCGGTGAGTGGATATACCACAGTTTACGGGCCTGACTCCTGGCTGGTAGATAATTTGGTTTGTTTCCAGTTTTATGCTATTTTTAAATCATGCTGCAGCAAGCAACCTCGACCTGTTTTTGTTGACTTTAACTTGCTCGTTTTTCCACGGGAGGGGAAACGACTTGGTGTGTACATGTATAAAAGTGGACATCATAATCAAAGAAAAGTTTCTTTTTACGTAAAAGTTCACATTGGCTTTTATACTTTTGAAGCTTCTTTTCTCTGGCAGTGGCAATGAGTGTTAATGTGGCATTGATGCTGTTCTCTTCGCAGGCTGCTCAGAGTGTTAACAAGGCCTTGGAGCAGTTTGTGAAGCCGGAACAGCTTGACGGCGAGAACTCATACAAGTGCAGCAAGTACGCTGGAGGGTGTCGGTGCTGCGGGGGGGAGGCCGGGCGGCTTGGGCTGAGGAAGTGCAGTGGTCTCAATAGCCCCTCCAGACTCCCTTCAGCTTCCATTAGCATCTGGGGAGGCCCTGGGCCTCTAGTTTCCAAGGGCCAGAGCACGTGTGTCTCAATGTTTACGCTCTCTAGAGACGTGCATCTCTGCCCTTGGGCGGCACGTGCCTGGTTACTGGGAAGGTCTGGCGGCAAGGGAGGTAGGATTACCCGCCACCACACGTTAGTGCTGCCGCGTGGGAAGGCGCGGCTTGGGATGACCTGTGTGTGTCGAGCAGCGTTTTCACTGACTCTCCTGTTATAAAAGGGTTGGGCTGGAGTGGGGAGTCACTTTCTCCCAGAGTAGTTAAGGATCTTTCTTGTGGTGGTTTCCCAGGATTTGGGGTAGTATATGCTAGAAACCTCTACTTTTGGTTATTCATTAATATCTTTCCCCAAGAAATCAAGAGAGCCTATTTTAAGAAAGCACTATTTCGTAGGCTGTAAGTAGGTTTCCATGTTATAGTCAGATAACATAGATGTAATCATGACTAACGAATATGCATGTTGCGGGGAGGGAGGCTCCCTGCTTCCCAGGACCACAGGGATCTCTCCTTTGTTTTAACTCCATGGACATTTCTGACCTTTACTTTTCCTCCTTTTGTATCTGGGTGGGGCTTTGTTTTCACAGAATTATTGCAGCCTGAAAATGTAGCAATTTTTAAGTTTGTTTTGAATCAAGAGAAACTTGTTATTAATCTAGTTTTAAAATTATCAGTGCCCTTTGTTACTTGACATCTCAGAATTGTCCTATCTTCCTTTTTTCTTTCATACTAATTAAGCAACTTCCCCCTGTATTTTAAATTTTAATATTTTCACTCTTGGTTAAAAGAGGTGGTGTTTCTCATCTAGTATCCTTCTTTTGGAAACTTAGAGTGTTTCAGAGAAATAACAAAGGAAAGACTAAAAAGCAAAAAACGACGAACTAATCTTCTTAATTCTTTGTTTCTGTTTTTTTTCAAGGTGTAAAAAGATGGTTCCAGCCTCAAAGAGGTTCACTATACATAGATCCTCCAATGTTCTCACACTTTCTCTGAAACGCTTTGCAAATTTTACTGGCGGAAAAATTGCTAAGGTATGTAGATGATATTATTAATAACCTTTTATGTTGAGCCTTTCAAGGCTTAAGTGTCAGTAGCTATTAAGGGTTATAAACGACGTAATTGAACAATTTTGTTACCTGATTTTCTGAGTTCTTCCAGCACTTGTAATGGAAAAAAATGTCGAAGAATTGCGGAAGGAGTTTTGTGTGTGTTTGAGTGACGTGGTTTTTTCTCTGTCTGTTAGCTGGTTAGACCTGATGATGATGACGTTGGTGACTATCATCTGCATTTGTGCTTCACAGTCAGTGAAGGTACCGCGTGGGTACAGGGAGAGCTAGTGTCGTTTGAAATCCAGAGAGGACTTCCCTGCTCGCTCTTGCCATTCTTTCATCCAAGTTCGTTTTTCGTTTGCTCAGGTGTTTTCTGATTGGCAGTACACTGAATTTTCCCATCTTCTTCCCACTTTCTGAAGATTGAAAGTGGTCAGAAATTCAGTAGCATGCAAGAGAAATAAACAGTCCTCTCCTAAATTATTAAAAATAAAAATAAGTGATGACTAAAGTCCAGAGATGTCATTCTGTTACTATCTCCTTTGATAGATTTGAAGAATTCACTTAATGTGGATCCTTATTTGCTTAAAGGAAATAAAGAACACAGTGGGACTGCTTTAAATACACTTAGATTCCGGTGTGCTCCAGGTTGATCGTGTCTTTTGAAATGTGGTTCAGCATGTTAGGTTTTTGCTAGAACATCATACGGTAGTGTTCTGCGGTTCTCCTCCGAGGGGTCTCCTGCCCTACCCGCATCTAAATAACCCACACCTGAATGCGTGGAACGATCTGTGCTTTCAGAAATGATGTTTCCTCTCTCCGTTTCTGTTTAGGATGTGAAATACCCTGAGTATCTTGATATTCGACCATACATGTCTCAACCAAATGGAGAACCAATTATTTATGTTTTGTATGCAGTGCTGGTACACACTGGTTTTAATTGCCATGCTGGCCATTACTTCTGCTACATAAAAGTAAGTTGTGCGCGTTTGCTCGTGACTGTATTTACAGTGCACTGTAAGGCAGCACCGGCATCCTTGGGAGGAAGGGTGGGGCCTTTACAGTTGACATGTGGGAGTCCATCTTCCTTACGTTTTCCTTGATTGGTGTTCCCTATTTACCCAATTACATCTAATCTCTCTTTTATTGGCTCTCTTTTGCAGGCTAGCAATGGCCTCTGGTATCAAATGAATGACTCCATCGTATCTACCAGTGACATTAGATCGGTACTCAGTCAACAAGCTTATGTTCTCTTTTATATCAGGTATTGTCAGGAAAACAAATTTTCACATTTTCTGTAACATCATTTCTTGTCATCTCATCAACATATTTAAATTCAATATTGATTTTTGGTTTTTTGGTTGGTTTTTTTTTTTTTTTTTTTGAGGAAGATTAGCCCTGAGCTAACATCTGCCACCAATCCTCCTCTTTTTGCTGAGGAAGACTGGCCCTGAGCTAACATCTGTGCCCATCTTCCTCTACTTTGTATGTGGGACACCCATCACAGCATGGCGTGCCAAGCAGTGCCATGTCTGCACCCAGGATTGGAACCAGCGAACCCCGGCCGCCGAAGTGGAACGTATGCGCACTTAACTGCTGTGCCAGCCCCTTCTGATTTTTTTTTTTTAAACAGCAGCTTAATGGCGCTGGGAGAGTTTTGAGTCTGGATTATGAGTGTGCTTTAGCTCCTAGCTCTTTGGCAGATTAACAATGAAACATGCAGAGGAAGGGAAAGCTGATAGCCAAGGAGGGTAGGCTTCTGCTGCTTCAGCAAATGGGGTGGGCCTGGGGGCCAGGGAGGCAGTGGGTGGAGGCCTCAGGAAGGGGACTCTGAGTACCTGGGTGCCGTCACCTCACAACCTCACTGAGCACGGGCAGCCAGCCACCTGCCTGGGCCAGCACCAGCACCCCTGCTCATTTCTCTCCTGTTGCTGCTGCATACTCTGACTCAAGAATCCCATTTCTGGAAATGTACGGCCTTGGGAAAAATCTGATGGGTGCTCCAAGGTTCTCCTTTGTAGTAGCTGAAAATTAAAGAACATCCTAAAATTTCTAGCAGAATGATCATATAAAGTGTGGCATATCCATATGTTGAAATATTATCCAGCTGTTCAAAGTGATTTTTATGAAGCTTTTTTTAAATGAGAAAGTGTTCAGTATATATGGAAGAAAAGCAGTTTGAAATTTTAACACACTGGTATTGAGAAAATCAGTACAAGCTAAAGCCTGAAGGGTAAGCCACTAAATCTGAGTAGTAGATGCCTCTAAGGGGTGGGATGAGGCCCAGGAGTTTTTTTTCCTAACTTTTCTGGATATTATAGATCTTCTATAATAGTATGCATTTATAATTAGAAAAATATAAACAAACAGAAAAGAAAAAAATATTCAGATAGTGGCCTCTTCAGAATACACAGTTCAAAGTACCATTTGCCCGTTTACCCTTGTTATCTGAGCATCCGACATGGCCTAAAGGGAATCCTGTGTGTAGCTCTGTACACTGCAGCATGTCAGTCTGTCAGAGGGCTTATAAGTGGGTCTCTTCTAAGGATGCGTCCTTTGTAACCCTAAGTAATATCACTCTTTCTCCCCAGGTCCCATGATGTGAAAAATGGAGGTGAACTTACTCATTCCACCCACAGCCCCGGCCAGTCCTCTCCCCGACCAGTAATCACTCAGCGGGTCGTCAACAACAAACAGGCCGCACCAGGGTTTATCGGACCACAGCTTCCTTCTCATATGATAAAGGTAACGTTCTGTAGGCGGGATATCACCTTGATGTTAATTTTTTCAAATGTGTCGTTCAGACCCTCTAGCTAACATTGCAATAGTTGTCATGTCCTCATATACAACTGAATTTGTCAAAAAAGTTTATTCAGGTCATTAATTATAAAATGCTTCAAATATACAGGAAATCTCAGAGTATGGATATAGTGATCAAGAAGAAAGTCTGGGTATAAGTATATTTACATGCTAGAGATTTTAGCTCCTGCTTTGGACTCCGCTCACTTAATGAAGTAAATATTTGGGGATTCTTGATTAATGCTAGACTCTAGGAAAGTGACCCTTTCACAAAAGAACGCTTTAATGATGTCCATTTAGCCCTTTCAGGAGGGTGGCCTTTTCTCTCTGCCATTGGCTCAGTCTGTCACACTCCCGATGGCCTCTCAGCGAGAACTGACGGTGTGCCTGGATCTTCCTAGAGTGGAGGCCTAATTCTTGCTAGAAGTACCAGTTGAGATCGTAGACTGCCTGTCTACATGTAGGAGTCATCCCTGTCGTCTGTGCTTAGTGTCTTCACAGCTTGCAGTTTAATTTGTTTGGGATCAGTGAACAAATTGTCCGGTTATATGCTGTTTCTTACGGACGTCGGACAGAGTTTGGATTGTAGCGGGAGTCACAAAATAAAGTGCCTTTGGGAGTGGGCCGTGCCTTGGGCTCCCGTGTGGAGCTCTTCTTACAGTGCCATCAGGACACTGGCTGACTGGAGAGGACGTGCCCTCTTTTGGGGGTGCTGCTGTGGATTTTCCAGGAGCCTTTTTTTTTTTTTTTTCCATGAAACTTTCCAGTGTTAAGATGGCAGCTAATTCAGATATTTAAGAAAACATCACGAAGGCCAAACAGAATTCACCCATGAACCAGATTTGTCCCATGGCCACCGGTTTGCAGCCTCTGGGGCACAGCAGCAGTAGCTGGAATCTGGAGCAGAATAATGGCCTGAGAGGATTCAGAGACATCCTGGGGGGAGGGGTGGCCTAGCGAGTGGTGTCTGAAGCAGCTCTTCTGTCCCCAGCTCCCTGGGCCAGTCGTAATTCCCTGCTGGCTGCTGCTTCCGTCTGCCTTACAGCCATGGGCTCCCAAGAAACCCAACCAAGGAGAGCATATGTGACTCCGTGCCCAAAGGGGCCTGTTCGTTTCTGTCAGATTGGAGCAGAAGATGGGGGCCTGGGGGTTGTTCTCTGACAAAAACAGTTGTCCCTATTTATTGCTTAATTTCCAGAGAACCATGACCTATGAAAGGTTTACGGTGGGCAGGAGCGGATGAGAGGAGGGGTGTTTCTAGATGCGTGCCACTTGTTACTCATAAAAAGAAAAAGATGACCAAAATGGGAAGGGCCCACAGCCAGAATGGACTCTGTGTCTGGGACTGTTTCTAGAACTCTCACCCGATGTGGTCTTCTTCCTTCCAGAACCCACCTCACTTAAATGGGACCGGACCATTGAAGGAGACGCCGAGCAGTTCCATGTCGAGTGCTAACGGAAATTCCAGCGTCAGCAGGGCTGGTCCTGTTAATGCTTCGACTTCTGTTCAAAACTGGTCAGTTAACAGGCCCTCAGTTATTCCAGAACATCCCAAGAAACAAAAAATCACGATCAGTATTCACAACAAGTTGCCTGTTCGCCCAGGTCAGTCTCAGCCTAACCTCCACAGCGGTTCTTTGGAGAACCCACACAAGCCTGTGCCCTCCTCTCCCATCACCGCTTCTCCCGCAGTGCAGTCTACCTCCAGTGCGCCCGCCGCGCCGGCCTCCAGCAAAGTAGCGAAGCAGATGACCCCGGCTGAGTCCTGCGCCACGCCGGTGATGAACGGCAAGTCCAAGCTGAACTCAAGCGTCCTGGTCCCCTATGGTGCCGAGTCATCTGAGGAGTCGGACGAGGAGGCCAAGGGCCTCAGCAAGGAGAACGGTCTGGGTACGACCGAGAGCTCGCCCTCTTCTGCTCAGGGTGCCGAAGACGACGAGGCCTCTCAGCACGAACTTCTAGAACCTGCTGCTCTAAATGGTGCTAATAGTACAGACGGCGACCTGAAAGAGAACGGTCTGTCATTTGATGGTGCCAGTTGCCAAGTCCAGCCTGCTCTACACTCGGAAAATCCCTTTTCTAAGGCAAACGGTCTACCTGGAAAGGTGGGTGGGGGCCAGGGGCGGGGAGCGCAGGCTGTGCCTCGACTCTCAGTTACGGCAGTTCACCTGGCTAGGTTAGGGGCACCGAGTGGCCACTAGAGTTGAAATATCTTCATTTTTTTATTGTAGTTGATGCCTGCTCCTTTGCCACCTCTCCCAGAAGACAAAATCTTAGAGACCTTCAAACTTAGCAACAAAACGAAAGGCTCGGCAGATGGAACGAGGTAAAATAATACATTAGAGCAAATGGAAGCTCATGGCGGAAAGCCACAGTAGTGCCTGTGGATGTGTCACTGTTTTTGCTCTGGGGAAGTGTTACAGTGAACCTTCTGAATCCTGGAATGTTTGAATAATGATCAATAGAATTTGTTAATTTGCCTTTTAGAAAAGTAAAGAAAAAATTTATCAGAGGCTGATAGTCCATGAAAACTGGGTACCCGAACCTGGCACTTTCTTCTCCACAGCCTCGTGTCTCTGGGAAGGGAGCTTAACACACCTCTGAACTTGACACCTGGCTCTGTCTCATTTAATCCCCCTAATGACAAATGTATGATGATGTATGAAGGCTAGACGTCAGGGGTTCTCCACTCTATCAAGCACCAAATATTTTGCTATGCCACCTCTAGAATTCTGAAATCAAATTCACAGATAAAACAATCTACCTCCACACCTAATTTAAAAAAAAAAAGAAATCAGTATGTTGACCTAACTGGGATGTAGTGGGAATAACAGGAAAGGAACTTGTACACGCAGTGGTAGTTCAGTCTGTAGACAGCCAGGCGAGACCCCACTGCCGTGGGACGCCGTGACACCGCGGGGCCTCGCGGCTGTGCACAGGGCTGCCGCGGAAATGACAGTTTAGACTGTGGCCTGATGTCAGGAGCTGTGTACCAGGCACAGATTCGCCATCAGGGATGTGACGTCCTCGTAGTGGGCAACTTCTGGTGAAGTTCTGACCAACTCTGGATTTACACGGTCGTGTTCCTGGAAAAATCTAGTGTCCATGAAAACGGCCAATAATATAACCAGGGTTTCAGCCCCTCGAGACATGGATGTGGGACACTTGGGTGTTATGTGGGACTTCCTGCCTTGCCCCCTGCCCACTAGTGCTCCCCATCGTGACAACCCAGAAATGCAGCCCCCATTGCAGAATGGCCCCCGGCGTGGGCGTGCCCTCGCTGAGAACCTCTGTTAGGAAGGCTTAATTATTAAAACGGAACGGAGCCGTCTGGTAGGCGGAGGACACTCACTGCCGCTTACCTTAAAGGTGGACCAGCTTGAAGACGTAGTCGCTTGCACGAGGCCTTTCCTTTTGTTTCTTTCCTAGTCCAGCTCAGTTTCTCCTCAAATGTGGTGTGTGAGGGTTCTTACAGATGCTTGTGTAAACGAAGCCACGCCTCGTACCCGAGCGTGCTGCTCTGCGTGCTGACGGGAGACTCACTGCCGCGCTCTGGGCACCTCGTCTCTGTTGACTCATCCTGGTTCTCTCTCCCAGATATTTTGCCACTAAAAAGTAGGGGCCACGCCAGGCTTTGTATTGTTTCCTGGCGACTTTCCTTAACCTTGGGAAAGCATCAAAAGCTCCACAGCAATCAGGGGCCGAGTTCATGTGCCACAGAAGGTTTTCCTGAAGCCTCTGGCTCCGCACCGGTACACGTGGTTCACAGAGCTGTTGGCTCTGTCTGGAGGCAGCTCCTCCCACTTGAGGCTCCGAGAGAAGCTCAGAGAAAAGGGACCCAGAGGAGGAGGAGGGGCCCCAAACATCGCTTGACTTTTTTAATAGCTCTTAAAAGAGTTATTAGGAAGAATTAGAAGTATATCTGAAAGCAGGAGGCACCAGCCCTGCGGAATTATCGTTGCTGCAAGATGGGGTAGAAGGTCGGCTGGATAGAAAATTTTATATTTTTATTTAATGAGGGAAAGAGAAAACTTGAAATTTCCAGAAATGATAAGCCCAGTATTGGGTTTCAACCAGATATATTAAAGGCGTAAAGTATTTAGTACAGGGATGCATTGAGGTGTTTGTCCCTGCAGGGCAGTGACGAAACCCCATAAGCAGTCAGGCAGATGACTGATCTGTGTGTTTCTTTGTTTTGCCGGGCCGCAGTCCAACCCGGACCGAGGAGAGTCCTGCCGAGAGTCCGGAAGCAGCCCCGGAGGCCGGCAGCCCCGCTCCTGACGCCCGGGACAAGCTGCAGACGCTCACGAGTCTCAGCAGCAAGCTGAAGAAGGCTCTGCTGCTCTCGGAGCCCGGCAGCAAACCCGCCAAAGACGACGTCGCCGAGAGCGTCTCCGCGGAGCCCGCCGAGCCTCTGCCCAGCACCGCCGTACTCTGTAACAGCAGCATGAGCGCCGCTGGGCACGATCAGCTCGCCGCACTCTGTGAGCCCGCGGATCTGACAAACGATCCGAGCAGGCCATCGCAGGCCGCAAAGGGGGCGTTACTGGAGAGTCCCCGGGACTCAGCAGCGATGGAGACGGTGGGGAGGCTGAGCCCGAGTCCCTCAGCGCGTGCCGAGGGTGACGGTGAGCATGAACTCTCAGTGTGCAGCGGTTGCGACAAGTGCACGGCCGTGGAGGACCCTTCCAAAAGCACAGGCGCGTCTGCAGAGGAGTCGCCCTCTCCTCAACTAGACACGATCACAGAGGGTCCTCCCGAGGGGGTCCCTGAACACAGTAACAGTGAGAGAGGTGAAGAAAATAAGGTTGCGCAGAAAGTTCAGGATCATTCTCCAGTTAAGGAAAAAATCAGTACTCTTAGAAAAGTTGATCGAGGACATTATCGCAACCGAAGAGATCGCTCCTCCAGTGGAGAGCGCGCAAGGGAAAGTAGGAGCAAGACCGAGGACCGTTATCACAAAAAACGGCACTCCTACGTGAGAGAGCGGGCTAAGCAGGAGCGCTACCGGCCGGAGCACTGCAACGGGAGCCAGCACCAGCCCTGTCACGGGGAGAGGGGCAGCCCCAGCGAGCACCGCTCCCTGGGCAGGTACGGCCACCACCACTCTCGAAATAGAGGCGGGTCAGACCAGGAATGGAGCAGGTACCACCACTCAGAAAGCGAACACTCCTGGGGCCGGGAGAAATACTACCCGGAGAAGATGAGGTGGGACAAGTGCAGGTATTACCACGACAGGTACGCCCCCTACGCGGCCAGGGAGGTGTGGGAGTGGAAGCCTTTCCACGGCGACCGCGAGTATGACAAGGCGGGTCAGTACGCCAGCCGGCCGCACAAGGACTACTCGAAAAGCAGGAAGGGCTATGAGTTGCTTGCTAAAGAAAAGGGCCGACACCACTTCAGCAGCCCTCGAGCAGGCCCGTCCCACGTCCTTCCTCTGTACCCCGAGAAGTACGCCCAGGAGAAGGTTGCACTTGTAGCTGAGGACAACACTTACCACCTCGCCGATCGGTTTCACGAACACGAAACTGTCAAGGCACGGAAGCGGAGATACGATAGTCTAGAAAATGCTGACAGTCACATAGGAAAGAAAGCCTGGAGGAGCTTACCACGGGACCCTTTAGAAGAGCCTAAAGTGAAGAAGCACAAAAAATCAAAGAAGAAAAAGAAATCCAAAGACAAACACCGCGATCGAGATTCCAGGTGAGGGGTGGGCCGTGCGGCGGGCCATGCGCCCGGGCGGCTCCGTGGGATTTCTCTCCCAACGCAGCGTAGTGGCCAGCAGAGGGCTGCGTCGCTTTTATATTAGTTTGATTTCTATTCTTCATCTCTCTGTGGGTTTTCAGGTTTCACTATTTTTAGATGCTCTGCTTTTAAGCTATATCTTATTTCACAGTGTTGTAAAATGCCTAAAAACCTCATTCTTTAAAATGATATCCTGCCACTTTCGGTTAATGCTTCGTGACATCTAGGGGTAAGTGTGCAGCATTCAGAAAATGCAAACATGGGAGTTGGCGTCAGTCGGTACTAATTATTTGTCTGATGTAGTTACATCTTCACGTCTGTTAACACTTCCTTCAAATTCACTGACTACCAGGTGGGCAGGAATGGGAGGCCACTGTCCTCTTGCTGTTCCACTGGGGAGCTGCGACACGTCACTTGTTGCCTTTGTCTATTTTTCTGTCTCCATTTCTCAATTTGAAATCTATTTAGGAAGTTTGTTTTTGTATTTTTAAAAAGTTAAATTGGTTGGCACTTGTCTTGCAAGTGACTTATCCGTGATGAGATGGAGGAGCACAGACAGAATTACTGCTCGTTTTGTTCTAGGCCTGGGACGTCGCTGGGGGAAAGATTCGCAAAGCCCATAGGGAAGTAGACGGTGGTTACTTGGGAAAGAGAGAAGTCACTCCCCCCCTCCTCTGTGCTTGAGACACCTGGCAGAAATGTTTGCTCCCTCGGCCCCTAGTTTCCAGGACCGTTAGCGAAATCCTCCCGCTGGCGTTTGGCCAGCCCCTCGCTCCGAGCGAAGCTGAGGGCAGTGGTGGGTGGGGTTGCCGGCGGGGAATTTACGAGCCTGGGATTAAAAAATCCTTAGAATGAAAACAGAGGACACGGTTTTCGTCGGGTCAGAGTTTTGGCTGGGCTCGCGTCAGGAGTGGCGGTGGCGGCTGTGACAGCCGAGGCGCCGGCCCGGGGTCGCGCGGAGGTGTGAGCTCTGCCGCTTCTTCGCAGGCACCAGCAGGACTCCGAGCTGTCGGGAGCGCACTCTGACGCCGACCTCCACAGGCACAGGAAGAAGAAGAAGAAGAGGAAGAGGCACTCCCGCAAGTGCGAGGATGCGCTCAGAGACTCAGGGCTGCGCCTGGCCAAGGCCGCCGCCTGCGAGACTGTCGCCCGCTTCCGGAGGGCGGCCGGCGGCTTCCCGCTCGCCGAGGGCCTGCCTCTGGAGGGCGCCGGGCCTTTCCGCGAGAACACGAAGGCCTTCCGCGTGGAGAGCAGGGCCGACAGGTGTCGTCTGTCGGAGTGCGGCCAGGGTAAGAGGAGGTGCTCGGAACTAAGGACGCGCAAACTCTGTCGGGAGGGGCGGCGCGCGGGGGAAGAAGAGCCTGCGGTCCGAAGGGTGCGGAGCCCCGCGTGGTGGCCCTGCTCCCTGGCGTTTCCCGCGAGCCGGGCCCCAGAACTTCTGCGATCGCCCTCTGGGACTCAGGGCTCTGCTGTCTGAGTGTCTCCTGGAGGCCCAGAACTTTTGTTTTTAAGCCACTTTTGACAGAAATGTTTTTGCAGTCTGTCTGTCTCTAAATCCTTACCGCGCCCCGCCCCCCCCAGGCATGGCGAGTGTGACCCAGGGCCCAGTCGCCCTCCCTGCTCCCGGGGCACCTCAGGCAGCTGCTCCCCTCTCCGGCGGGCTTCGGGGCCTCTGGCCCCGGGGAGAGCGCCTGGCCGAGGGTGGGGGGTCCCAGGCGGCCGAGGGCAGGGGTTGGCACCCTGCGCGGCGAGAGCGGCATTGGTCAGCGCTCAGGGAAGTCTGAGGCAGCGAATCACGGTTCACAGAGAGTTCAGCGGGACAGGCCGGCCACTCACTCGGTCGTCACACGGCCGGTTGCTCAGTCACACGGCCAGCAGCACCCGGCCCAGTGTGGCCCACGAGCTGAGACCATGTCGGCTGGCCTTTCGCCAGGAGAGTTTGCCAGCCCCTGCCCTGGACCCCCAAGGTGCCCTTTCGTGACTGCCCTGTCATCTTGGTTGCCCAGAGGCCTTTTCGTTCCCAACTCTGGGATTTGGGTGCGATGTCGTGTGTTACGGGGGCAGGCCCATCCCCTCCGGTGGCCCACAGCCCATGATTGTTGGTTGAAGAGGGGCCATCTCAGCTAGGTGGTCCCACAGAGCATCGGTGCTAGGAGGGCACCGGGTGACCTGAGGGATGGACTGTTCCCCCGCAGGGCAGTGCCGTGGGACGTGCTGCGGGCACTCCGTGAGGCAGGGTGCCTTCCCCAGTGGCGGTGACGCTGCAGCCGGGTGGCGCCGTTTCTTTAAGAAATTAATTCCGTGCATTTCAGATTGGCTTCCCCGAGCACTTCAGGAATTTGGGGAAGGGCTTGGGAGGGAAAGGAGGTTGAGGGTGGACTCTGGTAGGTGGCACTTGTGGCCTAGACATGAGTCTCCAGGGGCTCAGTCAGGCTTCTTGTGGAGCAGTGGCCCTGTGTCCCTGTCCTTGGTCCGGGTGCACCCCGTGATGGTGTGCACCTGCGCTTCCGCCCGAGCGGGCTGAGCAGCCCGTGTGCCCGTCCCGTCCCGTCCTCCCCTAGAAGGGCCACCCGCTTGGCCTTCTGTGCGACTGGCTGAGGACAGGCCCCCCTGCCTGTCTGCCACAGGCCCTCCGGCCTCGTGCCGCGACCGCTCCCCTCTCCCCTGCTCCTGTTCTCGGCCCGCGGGTTGCGCTCCTCCTGGCAGACGCTGCTCTCTGACCCGCCCGCGGGCCGCGGCCTTCCGTGAGCCGCGCCACATCCTGCTTTCACTGGGACCCTGGAGAAGTAGCTACGTGACAGCGTGGCCTCCTCAGCCTCAGGTAGCAGGGATCTCGGGCGACAGTCAGCTGCCGGGCCCGGTTGGGGGTGTGATCATTGGTGCGCACGGCGTAGGCGCCCGCTGTCGCAAACCACCGTTAAGTTTTTCCTGACCTTTGCTTTCTAGGTGATTGAAAACTTGGCCTCCAGACAAAAACTTCACTAGTTCTGGTAAGCTCCTCTCCTGTCTGTGTGTCTCGTCGGCGTCGTGGCCCTGGGGGACGCGGGTGGAGCTGCGCGAGCGGGGGCAGCAGACCCTCCGGCCTGGGTCCAGGCGCTGGAGCTGTGCTGAGTTCCGGCTGCGGCCTGGGGGCGCCGGAACTGTGTCCCACCCCCCCCCAGCCCCGCCATCCCCCACTGTAAGGGAAGGGGACAAGCGTAAGGCCCCGAGTCGGCAGGCCTTTGGTCCATGCCTGGAGAGCTGCAGCAGCCCTGTCCGTTGCCCCTGACCTACCCAGCTGCCCGAGAGGCCCCGGGACCCCCGCTCCTTCACTGCCTGGGCCACGGCTTTGGGGACAGGGGTCAGCCGCCCCCGCCCGGCCGGCCCGGGGCACCGACCCCTGTGCAGACCTGGGAACCACCGAGGCGGGCGACCTCGCGCCCATTCTCACAGGGACTTTGCTTTATCCGGATGCAGTTTGGGTGCTTTAAAGCAGATCAGAACCTGGGCGTCAAGTAACTTCCCGATGGCATGTCGCTCAGGGGCCCCGGGAGCCCGTAGTTCGTGCAGGGCGCCCTGCACCTGCCGAGGCGGAGGGGAAGCGAGCCATTTTGCTGCTGAAAGGGAACTTTGTCCAAATGTGGTACTTCTCGCAGCGAGGGGGACCGTGAATGAATGTCAGTGAGTCGTCTGCAGAGGACAGTGAGCATTAACTCCGAGCCTCAGGGCGCGCCCTCGGGAGGGCCAGGCCGGGAGCTGCTCCACCCCGGCGCGAGCGGGCCGGGTGGGAAGGGTGGGGGGCCCGCGCCCAGCAGATGGCGCCCTCCGCGCGGGCCGCCGTCCTCGCAAAGAGCTCCCCGCGGCCCGGGGCCTCGACCAAGCCGTGCAGGCTCCCCGGAGGCCGCCGCTGGGCCACCCGCCGGCAGGCACTAACGCCGCCGCCTCCTGTCTTTCAGATTCGAGTGTCCAACAGAAGCCATCCCCAACCCAGCTTAAATTATAAAGAGAGAGGAGAACTCTGTCCAAATCTGCGTGGTGCTTCTTTAGTAAATACTGTACAGATTTTACCATGAAGAACTTTTTTTTTAGTTTTTACCTTTTCTTAATTACCCTTCTTCCAAACGGATGAACACTTTCTACAACTGCTGACCATTGTACAATACGTTGTATATAGATCACATTGAAATAACGCCCTGGACTAGAACATCTCAATGCTGCTTAATCACAGACTCAGGTTGATCACCGTGTCCACGTAACGCTCCTCCGAGGCGGACAGCCGCGCGGCCACTGGGAGGCCGCGGGATCGCTAAGGACAGACGACAGTGTGCATACTTAATTTAAAGACTTATTTAAAGAGTCACGGGCTCTCAGCTAGACTTTTGAGAGCAGTGTGTTTTCTGTAATGTCTGATACTAGAAACTAATTTGCTTCATATTTTAGTTGTATTCAAGATTTGAAGATGTATTTTATAGACAAGTTCTGTTTTTGAACTTTGTGGAACTATTCCAATCAATTTACCAGTTATGATGAGTATTTACATTATGAATGTATAATCCAAACATTATTTGTAAAGCCTACAGTATGTTTTTATTACATAACACTTTTTTATACAGTGTCTCTTGTCTTGACTATGATATTGGAGTCTGAGTCGTCAGCTTGGTCCCTTAAAGTTTCTAGTTACAGACAGAATCATACTGTGATTTTATTTTTAATATGGATATGCTATCAAACTGTGATACACTTAGAATTCACTGGTCCTGCATCAGGAGACGGAGTGGGGAGACTGTGTTGGATACAGTTTGTATCTGAATGATCTGTATGCTTCATACAGTTGCTGTTGTTCAGAGATGTCTAAAGTTTGATCTTTGTTTTTTTAAAGATTAAAAAAGCACTTGCCCCACTGTAAATATACAGCATGTAAAATTTATATAGTATATAAATGGCAGCAAATTAAACACTTTGTGTCTTATTTTTTACTGCTGTTTTCCCCATTTGCTTACAGCCGGCCGCCTTCCTGTTGCATCCGCCCTCTTACAACCGCTAGAGCTCCAGCCACAGGCGCTCACCCCGCACGGGAGGAGCGGACCCCGGGGTGGGGGGTGGGGGGTGGGGGCGGAACCTGACCATCGATTTTAAAGAACCAGGCCGTAGACACTCTGTGAACAGTGCGTTCGATTTTTATTTAGTGAACACAGTATTTGCAATTTGATAGCCATACACCCTCCAATTTGACTAACTATTCACTTTACAACAAAATATCAATAGATATAGGATATTTCTTCATGCACGTTGTGGGAGTATATACATTGAAAAACAAACACTCCAGAAGTCAATCTATATGTACATTATTTACATATTAACTATATTTACTGTAAATAGAAATGTTTCCTAAGAAAAAATAAAATGAGAAATCACAACGTGTGGTTTCTGGTCTAGAACAGACCTAACTTCTGGGCAAAGCACATCTATGCAGATAGACGCATTTTAACCTTAAAAATATGCGCTGCTTTATATGAAGCATTAAAGGCCGCTCCATCTATAAATAGCTCCTATTTTGACTCAGTTTGGTACCACATTAAACTGCTCGAAAATGTTCTGTGATCCTGAAGACACTGTCGCCTGTCTGGGCCCAGGGTCGTCCCGTTAACCCTCCCACGGTAACAGGCTGGGCCGTGGAAGCCGCCGCCTCCCCTCGCCCCCCACGCCCCTGGCCTCGTGTCCCGAAGGAAGCTGTCTTTGGCCAGAGCCGGACGGCTGATCGGAGCCCTGAGCGCGGACGGGGGTGGGGAGGAGGGCGCGCGACCATGCTGAGGTCCAGGCCACAGGCCCTCCCCCACGGCCCCTGACCCGGGGGCTTGGTGGGAGTGACGGCCGCCTGCCTGTCAGCTTAATACTGTCACAACACCGCCTGCAATTAGATGATTCCAGGTAACGCTCTGATGGCGGTTAGAGACCCTCAGCACCGGCTTCTGCATCGGCCCTGGGCCGGGGCCACCGGGCAAGGGGCCTCTACAGACGCCCAGAGGAACAGCTGCTCACGGTGCTCCCTTCCGCTCCCTTCTCCCAGCCCCACCTGAGGCCAAACCGAGACGGAGCGCCCCGCCACCCCCAGGGTCCTGGAGGCAGACAAAGGAGCCTGACACCAGGTTTTCCTCGAGACACGATGAGTGGGCGAGGTGGCAGCAGTGGCGGCAGCACATGGTCTGGGGTCCGGGCAGCGTCTCTGTTTTCCTGGAAGACTGAGGCCAGAGTTGCATATATACCAGTCGCATTTCAGGAACGCTGACTTGCCTTTCTCAAAAACTAAAGTTTCAAATCTGAGGTATCGGTACAGTAACAAAGCCTAAAAGCTCAGGAAGTGACCAAAAAAATCCGTTTGATGCCTGTCGGAGCGTCATGGGCTCAGACCCCTTTGCTGTCTAGTGTGTCTTAAAGCTACGTCAAGGTCAGCTGCACCAGGGCCAGGGGCCCACCGCCCGCAGGCTCAGTGTCAAGGCAACTCACAGGCAGGTGACTCCTGGGGGACCTCCGCGTCAGGGCGCAGTCAGAGGATCCCCTCCTTGGACTTGATCGTGCACAGGAGTTAATGACCTCCAGAGGGTGCAGACTCGGGGCGTCTACGCAGCCCAGCCAGTGCAGGGCCGGGCGCTGGGTGGGGCCGGGGGGTCCGATACAAAGGCAGGCCTCTGTCCCTGGCCATCCTGAGGACAGCCCGGCTCGGCCAGCTCCCGGGTCAGCCTCACCCACTCACGCCAACACGCAGCCCGACCAGCTCCTGGTCGTGATCTCCCCAAGTTCCACCACCGGCAGATACTTGGGGTTTGCAACTATTTACAGGAAAACCTAAGCGCCGCCCATGTTCCTCCCACAGCTGCTCTTTCCCTCCTCATAACAGCAGATTAAATCTCTGCAAACACGGAACAGGCTTATTTCTAGTTACCTGTCTATACGTTACATTGAGGAATCTGCTCAAATTATCATCAGGTCAGTAAAGTAAGTGTTCATTTTGCCAACAGGTTTTGAATAGCGAAGACCGTGGTCAAAAGCCAGTCTGAGCCACGTGTGCAGCTGAACCGTGAAACTGCCGTGTGGGGTCAGGAACAGTCAAATCTTAGCTGTTTCACCTGGTTCAACGTACAGACTAGCAGCGCTGGGGTTCAGCAGTTACAGGATAAACGCCCAAAACCACAACTTATATTAATGATTTGCCTTTTTAGAAAGTGTCTGTGGGGCCATGAAGTCTGAGCTGGAGAGAGGTCCTGGGGGACCTGGACACCTGGAGCCCCAGCCCCACCCAGTGCGTGTCGCCCTTGAGGACACAGGGCATCTGGCTCCACCAGGAGCGACAAGGGCGCCCCTCGCTGACAGAAAGGCCCCCCCCCCCAGCGCCCCGCCCCGTGCAAGCGCCCTGCCTCACCCGCCCTCCAGGCACTGCATACGTGTGTGTGTGTGTGTGTGTGTGTGTGTGTGTGTGTGGCATTTCTTTCAGTGCACACAGTACATACTTGTGTCCAGGAGTTAAACTTATAGCTGCCATTCTAAAAATACTACTGTTAGAAAGTATCTTTCATTATAATTTCAGAATATAAAAAGGCATATAAAAGCTAGAATCATATATATCTGAGAAAAAAAACTCTGAATAAAAAAGTGGTAGCTTTTCCTTTCCTGCTTTGCTAGAAATCGGTGGCTTCCGGAACAGTGAGCACCGGCACCGTGAGCGCACATGGCGCCACTGGCGGCAGTGAGGTTCCCGGGCGTTGCTGCGGGCGGGGCCGGCGAGGAGGATGGTGGCGACATCTGCGGGCGCGGGCAGCTCGGGAGTAAGGAGAGGCTCACAGCTGACAACATCCCAGACACGCGCACGGGCCGCCTCGGGGGCCTGGGCAACCCCAGAGCACAGCCCGGAGGCAGCGCCTCCCAGAGACGCCTCTGGAAAAGGCCTCCGGGGCCCAGGGGGTCCTGGGGAGGCCTCCAGTCACTCTCTGCTGTGGGGTTTGGTTTTTCCTTTTACCTGTCCAGGCCAGGAGAGCTCTACTTTTTATTGGCAATCCTCCTTTTCCTTGTGGCCAACATGTCGTAGAAAGGATCCCTACTGATGCTCGCTCTGGGGGAAAGGGGGAAGACTCGGTTAGGTGGGAGGGTGGGTCCTCCCGCCCCAGCGCCCGCAGGCCCTCCAACCAGAGGGGGCAGGCGGCAGGAGCAGAGTGGCTCCTCCGAGTGGCTGGGGGCAGAGGGGTCAGGTTCTTGCACGCCCAAGTACAGGTGCGCACAGGCAGGCACACACACGTGCAGACAGGTGCGCACACGTGTACATGCACACCCTCTCTCAGTTAACCACCCAAAGGAAACGGCTCGGAGCTGGGGCTCCCCGCGCACCTGATGGACTTCATCCACTCCTCCTTCTCCTCGGGGCTGGGCGCCGAGATCCGGTACACCACGTGGTTGCCCTCCACCACTCGGCCGTCGGCTTCCGTTTTGCAGGCTTTGATGACCTGCCCTTTGTGGCTCGGGTTATAGAGCTCAAAGCAGTTCTGGCGGAGACAGGGAGAGGGGCCGTCACGGCGCGTGTCCCCACAGGCCCGGTGGGTGAGGCTCCCAGCCGGTCGGGGAGGAGAGGAGTTGCAAGAGAAGGGCAGCTTACGGGTTTCCGGGGGTCCTCCACCTCCCTGATGCTCAGGTTTTCCAGCGGGATGATGCCCCTGGGCTCCTTGTCCTACGAGAGAAGAGCACACGGCGGCGCTCAGGCCCGGCCGGCCGCAGGGCCCCACCACCCACGGCCGCCGCCCGGCCACTCACCGTGGTGTACTCAAAGTAGTACAAGCAGTTGTCGGTCAGGATGAACCAGCGCCGCTTCCAGGTCTTCACGCGCCCCCCTGAAAGCAGAGGCCTCGAGGGTCAGCGTGGGGCGGCCAGGGGCGGGGCCCGGGCCCTACACTAAATCCTGCAGTTTTAGAAACACCAAGCTTGGCTTTCAGTTTCCTTCCTCGTGAAAATTCCGACCTTCCACCCAACACTCAGCCAAGGCCTGCGCAAGGCTGTGTGCCTGCCCGCTGGCGCCCAGGGGGCGCGTGGCCCTGGGGCCCTGCATGCACCCCCCAGGCCCACCCCCGCGCCCTCTCCATGGCCACCTAGATAACCCAATTGCTTCCCAAATCGGCTTCCGGGAAAAGTTAGTCATGATGAATGGGTTTAATCTCCCCACGTGGAAATGACAGGAGGATGAAGTCAGGGCGGCTCCCGGTCTGTCCGGCCGTAATCCTGTTACCGCGGCCGCTATCGCATTACCGAGGACTCTGGGCAGCCCTGGGATCCATCAGAATCAATTACTCCTCGGCCCAGGGAATTGTTCGATTGAATTAATCTCTTAACAAGATCTGGAACCCACATGGAAACACACACACACACACACACACACACAGAGCCCGCCTGCATCTACTCGCCTTTCACTACAGACAACTTTTTTACTCTTAAATATTTAGAAGAGACAAACTGGCTTCAATTTCTAGCCCTTGCTTCTGACATGAAGTTGAAAAAACAGAGAAAAACATGCAATGTGGTAAAAAGAGAGTCAAACGACACATGGGCACAGGGTCAGAGGGCTCTCCATGCCCCACGGCTCCCCAAGGTGACGGCAGTGACATTCGGGAGTGAGCTCGCCCCCCTTTCTCTGCAACATGGAGCAGGTGAGTGTCGTCAGGGCTGAGGGTCAGAGACCCAGTCCCTGCACAGACGTGGAGACAGGACGAGGGAAGGAAATGTCGTGTGGGACACGGGGGGACAAGAAGGGACACCTGTCGGCCCCCAGGTCATCCCAGGGCTGAGACAGGAGGCCTCCCTGACCTCTGATGTTCGCAAGGATCCAGGCGGGGGAGACACCGGCTTCAGGGAGGGAGAGAGCCCCAATTGCTAGGATTTGGTGGCACGGAGGACGGGCGCTTGGAGACCCCTCTGGGACCCTTCCCCCTGCCTCACTGTCCTTCCTCTTTTGCAAGGCCTCAGGCAGGTGGAGGCTGGGCCACGCTGGAAGGGAAGGTCTAGGGCGTCTCCCCCCGCCTCACTTTCCGGGGCTGCCCCCACCTCACTTCCAGCCCCATCAGAAGGGTCTGCCCACATGCTTCTCCGAGATTCCTGCAGCAGCGCCCTCGGCCCTCAGACCCCAGCCCACCCCCCCAGCTCATGCCTTCGTGCCCCAGGGCCTTTGCTCAAGTGGCTCCTGGGTCTGGAGCCATACCCCTTCCTCCAACGTCTCTCTGACCCCCTGAGCTGGGCTCTTGCTCTCTGTCCCTGCGTGCAGCCTCGGCACTCCACCGGAATCCTCCGCTCCCCACTGGACAGGGCCTCTCATTCGTCCCCTTTTAAGAGCCAGCACACGGCAAGCCCCAGCAGCCGGCAGGGCACAGGCGGTCCTGGTCTCAGCTGGGCTCCATTCCCCCGCCTCAGCGACAGGGAGGCCCAAGTTCACACGGAGGGGCCCCAGCAGAGCCTCAGGGCAATCGGCCTCGTCCCAAAGTCCTCCGGTGACAGGGGACAGCACCCATTCTCCTCAGGCACATCCCCCCAGCCCCGGGCCACTGGGAACGAGTCCTGGGACAGCACCCTCTGACCCCCAACAGCAGCCCACGTGGCTCCTGAAAAATAAATGATCCCGCCGCTCCTGGCCTGAAGCCCCCAGGGGCTCCCCTCTCAGCAGAGGAGCTGAATCCCCACGACAGACAGACAGACAGACGGCCCCAGGCCCGCTCCGGCTCCCTGCCCCCCGCCCCGCCCTCCGCTATGTCCCGAGCCGCTTCTCAGAGCTGCCCCCAGCCCCTGTGCATCATCTGCCCAGCACCGGCTCTGCCTCATGCTCCTGTCGCTGGGTCACTGGGTGGCTGCCGGTGTTCTGTCACCACAGGCCCCACGCCTATCACCGACCCTTATCGCCAGCTGCCTTGAGAAGCGGCTTGGCCAGGAAGGCGTCCCAGCTCTGCGCCGAGTTCAGGGGCCTGTCTGGGGACCCCAACTCTGGCCCAGGGCTCAAGGCCAGGCGGGCTGCAGGAGTCTAGACTGAGGCCCCTGGGGCCCCCCCCAGGCACCCTCTCAGCCCCGCGGGCAGCCCAGCAGGGCCAGTGGCCACGCCCTCGCTCTCAGGACCACAGCAGGTTTTGCTGCTCCACTCCTGCACACGCTTCAGGCGGAGCTTCAGGGGCGGGGACCTGCGCAGCCGCCCCTCGTGCCTGCAGAAAGGAGCCTGGCTTCCCCACGTCCTCTGTGCAAATTTCCCACTATTTTCATGGCTGTTACGAGGCACGTGCGTGCGCCCACACCTAATGCGTCCACACCTAATGCGCCCACAACCAGCACATGCACACACGCCTGCGATGCATCCTTTTTTATGCATGGCAGCTCAACTCTGACCCACATTCCTGCCAGTGTTTTTAACACAACTGACTCGTTCTCAAAACCCAGTGCCTGCTGTGTAAGGTGTTTACTTGACAACCACTAAGCGACACTGGTACTCCTGTGCTCGCCCAGGCCTCTGGGAAGGGCCACCCGCACCAAGGCTAAATTGACAGTGAGACCCGGCTGAGCAGGGGCACGCTGCGCCTTCCGTCTCCGTCTGAGCAGGCACGTGGGGCACACGGTCTGTCCTCTAGGCCCATCTCACAGGTCTCGGGCCACACGCCTCTGTGTCCACCCTGTGCTGGCGGGGCCCAGAGCTGAGTGCAGGAACCCGCCCGGGGCCCACCAAATGCCCCTTCAGCATCAACTGCCAGCAGATCTATGGCCTCCTTGGTCCTCAGAGATCGACACCCCCAGTCTCGGGTGGCCAGGCCAGCATCAAAACTGGCGGGAGGAGGCCTGTGGACAGAACATCTCTGGGCACTGGGGGCCGGTGCAGCCAGGCAGGGCAGGAGCCCTGGAGGGACCAGCCCAACAGGCTGCTGGGAGTGGCTCTGAGAACAGAGTGGATACAGAGGCTGCCTGGGGGCGAGAGAGGCAGCAGGGGGCGTGCCGAGGCTGCCGGGCCATCACCTGGCCAGCGGGCTCCAGGTCTGAGCAGCGCCAGCATCGCTAGCTTTGTGGCTGCCAACGAGGACGCCAGCGCTGACTCCCCTTCACACAGACACAAGGGATGGGCAGTAGGGGCAAGGAATGAGCAAAGCCCAGGCCCCTGGGGGCCATCCCCTGTGCCAAGGCCACATCTAGCTGCTTCAGGCCCCTCGGGCCCTCATTCAGGGCCAGCCAGCTCTGTAGCTCCCAGGACTTGTGCACTGATGTTGGGGACCGCTTATCTGCTCAGCCGGAAAACAGAGTGGAAAGCAAGGCCGTGGTGCCTTCATTCCACTCACTCAGTTCTGCCTCTAGAGCCGGCCGCAGCCCCGGCACCGGCTGCCAGGCAGGCCCGCGCTGTCCCCGGCCCACGAGGGGCACTTGCTGGCAACGCAGGAATGGGAAGGCCCATGTGCCACTGCTGGTGTTCTGGCTGCATCCCCCCTGCCCTCACCCAGGACCAGAGTGTGATGTGACCGGACAGTCGGGGACACCTTAAAGGTTCCTCAGGCATTCAAGTCTGAGGCTGTGGTTCTGGGTCTTTAGGCAAAGATCCAGAACTCTCCCAGACCTCAGCAAAGCCAGAAAATAAATCAGAGCAAGACCCCAAATTGTAGCAGCAGACCCATGGCGCGCACCCCCACGCCTGCCACACTGTCACCATGCCTGTGTTTTGTCCTCCCCTTGAATAAAAACACAAAGTCACCAGAATTCTCGTAGGCCTTGGTGCCTTGCAATCTGTTCTCAAAGAGCCTGGATGGCACACAGTTGTCACATCTCACAGGCTCTAACGTCACAGGAAAGCAGAAATCCCAAGCCCCCAGCATCAAAACCCCTACCAATTCCTAGAATTGCCCAGAAAATGCAAAGGCCATTCTACTTCTTTGTCAACGGCTCGGAAGCCTCTACGCCATGTGCGGACTCTTTCCAGGGGGGATGCAAACGTGCGCTGCTAGGTTAGTATCAGAGGGGTGACTGGCGAGGCTACAGGAACGGAGCTGGCTCCTGGCCACCTCGCTGCCACACGGCCCTACAGACGGGGGGCGAGCCTATGCCCACGCGGCATTCCCATGGGCCTGGGACCCCGGGAACAGAGAGGCTGGCGCTCCGGCCACTCCTCGCCCAGCCCTGCGGTGTGGGTGTCACCTTCTCTGCCCCTGGCGTGAAGCTAACCCCAGCAAGTCCAAAGCCACACGGGTCAGACGAATGGCAGCCACAAGTCAGAGCTTCACACAGACCAGCGGGGGAGAGAGACCGAGAGAGGAATGAGCGGCTGGGGAAGGGCAGGAAGCCACTGGGTACGTACCTCCTACCGCAGAACAAGCAGGGACAGCCCGTCACAGAACAGAAAGGTGGGAGCCACAGGCAGAAGGAAAACAACAAGAAGGCACATTTAAAGCACGCATGGAAAATCAGCCACGCCGAACCAAGAGAGGCACGCAGGTTCTCGGAGGCCGGTGAGAACAGAAAACTGCCTTGGGTTTGTCTGGACACTAAGTGAGCAGTTTTCTGGGAGGTTCGTGCAGCCCGGGCTCCCCTCTCGGCCACAGACACTGACAGGATGGCCCCGTTCGGACAGGGCCCGAGTCGGAACAGCAGCCAGCGAGTCTGGGGCAGGCGGGCGGCCGCCGGGAGCGGGTTTTGGCCTCACGCATTCTTGGTGAGGTCCCTGCCTCTGCTCAGGGGCCCTCGCTGGGAGGAGCGCGGAGCCGCGGCCCCGGGCTGGGGGCAAGGAGCGCGGTCCCGCCCCACCGGCCGCCACTCACCCAGCTTCAAGAGCCAGCCCTCCCGGTCGGGGTTGAAGAAGGTGTGCGTCAGGTCGTTGCCGTCGTCCTCCGGGATCTTGAACGGCTCGTTCTTGATGCTCTCGTACAAGTTCTGCGAGGAGGAAAAGTGCCAGCGCTCAGGGACCGCGACGGAGGAGCAAGGACCCGTCCTTCCCTCTCTCCCAAGTGCAGAAGCAGCATCAGGCCCAGGACCAGGGAGCCGGGGGCTCCCTAAAGATGCTTTAAAATAAACGGACTGGTGCTGCCGACGCTCATGGGCAGAATGTGACACTCCTGCGGGCCAAGGACAAGGTAAGGGCCGGCGAGGAGGGAGGGAGACAGCTCGGACGCAGCGGGCTCGGAGCAGCTCACCCTCAACAGCTCCTCTGGGAGGTCCCCTCCCTCGTTGATGCCTCGGTTCATGGTGATGAAGCGCTCGGCGGTGGGCTTGTCCCGCACGTTGTGGTTGTGGAGGCTCGTGTTGAGCATGATGATGGCAAACGACAGCACGTAGCACGTGTCTGCAAGAGGTCAGAGGGCAGCAGGGAGCGCTCAGGGCCTGCGAAGCCGAGAAGCTGGTCTAGGATTTCTACGTGAGAGGCAGACCCACGCGTGCAGGAGGCGCTGCCCTGGGGATGCCACGGCGGGGAGGCGGGCCCACAACACAGATGCTGGGGCTAGGACCAGGGGCCGGGCGCGGCTGTGTCACTGACCCGTGGACTGGAAGACGCCGGGGTTACACAGGCAGTAGCGGGACGCGAACGCCTCCATCATGCGGTCAATCTTCTGAGCCTCCCCTGGAAGTCTGAAGCTCCACAAGAATTGCCTGCAGAGAAAGGAGCACTGGGAATGACCACGTGTTTCCACGGCCCCGGCCTCACGAGCCGGGCCCCAGGGAGGACACCAGGTGCACGGAGCAGGTGGCAGGCGACGCAGGAGAAGCCTCAGCTGTCAGAGACCCCAAACCCAACCCAGGCAATGTTCCGAGGGCCGAGCACCACACGCTCCTCCTCCTGGGCCACAGGACAGGACAGGCGCCAGAGGGATGACCGGGAGCTGTGGGGCAGCAAAGCCCAAGAATCCACTGGTGGCAGCGGGCAGCTCTGTGCCCTCAGCCGTCCACTGTGGGGCCAGCTGGATGTCTCCCCTGCAGGAGCAAGGCAGGACCCTGTGGCTCGGGGCCAGAGACTGACCAGCTAAAAGAAACGGCCTCCTGGCTGCCACACCGTAGATGCCCCCCCAGACGCACCAGGCCCGCACCTCTCCGTGACGCAGGTTCTCAAAAATTGAATCTAAGCTCCTGAACCCCAGCAGCAGGATTCACACTGTGTAACCCAGGCCAGCTCTGAGCACAAGGGCGGGAGGGTCAGACAGCAACGCTGCCGCCACCTCAGTCTGCAGCAGAGGGACGCCACGAGGAAAAGAGCTCCCGCTGGGGCAGAGCACGGAGAAGAGCGGAGACCAGGACCAATGTGGGCGGTCACATGCTTCCCAGCCTCAGGGCAGGCGGGGGCTTGCTCCCAGCAGGGACCCCGCGGCCAATGGGCTCAGGGCTCGTCCATCCAGGACCCAGACCAGATGGAGAGCCGGTGCGGCCCAGGCTCGAGGTGCAGCCATTGGTGCCTCAGCCTGGACACCATGGAAGAAACTAGATCCTGTCAGCGGTCCAGGAAGAGGAGCGTGTACAGGAGGATGACCGGAGTGGACATCTGGAGAGATGACACCGGCCCCTCTGCTCCAGAGGCAGTTGTAACTCAGGGCCTGACGCCCAGCGATGCCCAGTTTGCCCGGACGAGACTGGGACTGGGGGCGGCCACCGATGGCAGGACACCCACCCTCTCCCCGGCACACACTGCAGCAGTGGGAAGAAAGCATGCACACAGCTGCCAAATGTCATTAATTCTGGAAGAAAGCAAGGAAGTGTGACGGGGAAGCAGAACCAGTGGCCACGACGAGGCGAGCAGAAGCCCATGTCCGGGGTGCGTGTCTGCGCTCCACCTCCTGCGGCTCCGGAGAGACCATGAGAAACGAGGGGTGCCAGTGTCCCCAGAGACGCACGCGGCCCTTCCGGATCCCCCGGAGTGGATGGGTCCCCTCCTGTCCAGGCCTCTGTCCCTGCCTTCCACCTGCTCCGGGACAGCACCAGATGAAGCGCTCACCTCAAGGCCTGGACGAGGTTGAGGTCGGCAAACTCATGGAGTTCGACAAAAGCCTGGAGGACTCTGATATTAAAGTCGTCCCTGGGAAAAGAAGGAAACGGGGTTACAGCCCACTGCGTGTGATCTCAAACATCTCCTAAAGCCAGTGTTTGCAGGCTTTGATGTCGTATGACTCAGTTAAGACATTTGTCACGGTGCGTTTGTTTTTGGATTTGGCGCAAAGATGACCCAGCAGGATACAAAGAGTTTACTTGGCAGAGGTCACAGTCAGGGTAGGGGACCGTCCTGAGATCCCAGGGCGGGCCCGTGGGTGCCCCAGCCTCGGTCTCCGCTGAGCCCAGGAGGCACGTGCCCCATCACTCCCCCAGCCCTGGCAGGGGCTCAGACAGGGGACGCCACCCCGGTGCCACACACCAGGAAGTGCAGGTCTGGGCTCAGAAAGCAAGGACTGGAGGAGAAACGATACCTTATGTTCATAATTAGCTTTGCAAAACTAAAGTGAACGTGAGAATACCGTAAAAGGTATAATTTTTCACGTCAACATAAAAGATGACGACAAAATGGGAAACGATGTAACAGCGACAACTGGCTTCACTGGAATTTTAACTCAAAGCCGTTCCCAAAGCCCCAGTCTCGAGGTGCAGTAAGGACCCCCCCCAAGCCAGCAAAACACTTTGGTCCCACCTGTCCCACCCAGAGGGTGGCGCCTCAGCTCCACTGGTCCCAGCTGACCATCCCCTCATGTGGCTCCCAGCCACTGATGGCAGCTCCAGCCTGGAGGCCGCTCCGTCTCCGGAGCCCATGACGGCCTCCGGCTGCTCTCGCCGCTTCTGCTGCCGTTCACCCCACCGCCAGACAGTCTACTCCACGGGGATTGTTCTAAACGGTGAATCAGACCACGCCCTCCCCCCTCCATGTCAACCTTCCAATGTCGCCCCTTTTCCCTCCTACAATGAGCCCAGAGGCCATCACTGCCCTGAGCACATCTCCATTCTGTCCCCTCCCTGGCCTCCGGCCACAGCACAAGCCAGCCCGTGGCCCAGCCTCTGCCCCAGATCCCTGTAGGGCTCACTCCCTCGTGCCCTCCACATCCTGACACAAATGTCACTTTCTCAATGAGACACCCTGACCAGCCCCCCAGCTCTCCCGGTGCCCCTTAGGCTCTCCTGCTTTTCCCTTCCTCCTTCGCCCCCCGATCGCCTGTGAACACATGATAGGTTTTCTCATTTCTTATGCTTATCATGTATCTTCTGCACTGCTCCAGCGGAATGAAGGGCCACAAGCGGAGGAAGCCATCTGCTTACCAACGCCACTCAAACGCCTAAAACAGTTCCTGGCACGGACTTGGAACTTAATATTTTTGGGATCTCAAAATCTGCAGGCACTCAGTATTGGGCGACTGCGTGGATTGTCGGACTGCATTATGCAAATGCAGGTCATCTCGTCGCACACCTGCCAGAGGACGATGGAGAAGTCCTCACAGCACACCCTATTAGACTAGGTGTCGGAACTCCTAAGACGCTGCTCAATTTTTTTTCCTAAATCAGCTTTGTTGACACATAATTCACATACCTAGGAGCAGCATGATTGGGTCACATGGTAAGTTTAGTATTTTGAAGAACTGCCAACTGCTTTCCAAAGTGGCCGTATCATTTCATAACCTACCAGCAGCGTACGAGGGTTCTAACTTCTCCGCATCCTCACCAGCATTTATCATCTGTTGTTTTTTTTTTTTTTTTTCCACTACAGCCATGCTAGTGGATGTGAAGTGGTATCTTGTTGTGGTTTTCATTTGCATTTTCCTGATGGCTAATGATGCTGGCCACCATCCATGCCTTAGACACTTATTTATGTATCTTCCTGGGAGCTCTGCCTAAACTTTATAATTATGTGTCTTTTCATTATTGAGTTGTAACAGTTTTTTATTCTAGATATACGTTCTGATCAGATTTCTACATGACTTGCAAATATATTCTCCTATTCTGTGGGTGGTCTTTTCACTTTCTTGATGATGCCTTTGAAGCACACGCGTTTTGAATTTTGATGATGTTTACCTATCTTTTTCTTTTGCTGTTTGTGCTTTTGGTGTTATAGCTAAGAAACTCTTGCCTAATCCAAGGTCACAAACATTTACCTCTATCTTTTCTTCTGTTATTTTATAGCTTTAATTCTGGTATTTGGGTCTTAAATCTACCTTAATTTTTGTGTACGGTTAGTGGTCCAATGCCACTCTTCTGCACATGGATATCCGGTTGTACCAGCATCATTTGTTGAAGAGACTACTCTTTCCCCCCACTGAAGTGTCTTGGCATCCCTGTCAAAAATCACTTGCCAGTAAATGTGAGGGTTTATTTCTGGGTTCTCACTTCTACTCCACGACCTATATGTCTAACCTTATGCCAGGACCGCACTGTCTTGATTAGTGTAGCTTTAGTCTGTTGTCTAATTGGGAAGTGTGAGTTCTCCAACTTTGTCCTTTTTTTCCCCCAAGATTTCTGTGGCCATTCTGGGCCCCTGAATTGCTCTATGAATGTTAGAATGAGCTTGTCACCTTCCACAAAGAAGTTAGCTGAGATTTTTCTGGGAGTGCATTAAATCTGTAGGTCAACGTGGAGGGTATTGCCATCTTTGCAATATTAAATCTTCCACTCCATGAACATGAGATGTCTCCATTTAATGAGTCCTTTTCATTTTTCCCCCCAACATTTTACATAGTTTTCAGAGTAAAAATTTTGTACTTCTGTTAAATTTATTTCTAAGTATTTTATTCTTTTCAATGCTATTGTAAATGGACTGCTTTTCTTAATATCCTTTTCTGCTTGCTCATTGCTACTGTATAGAAATACTGAATTTTTTATATTGACCTTGTCTCCTGCAACCTTACCGAAACTTGTATTTTTCTCTTTCCAAACTGGATGCCTTTAATTTCATTTTCCTGCCTAACTGCCCTGGCTGGAACTGCCAGGACCATGTTGGACAGCCGTGCTGAGTGCAGTTATCCATGCCTTGTACTTGATCTGAAGGGGAAGCAAGAGAGAATTTGAGGGTTTTTCACAGGCGCCCTCTGCCATGTTGAGGAAGTTCCCTTCTTTTCCTAGTTTGAGTATTTTTATCATGAAGCAATGAATTTTGTCAAATGCTCCTCCTGCATCTATTGGGACGATCATGTGGATTTTGCCCTTTATTCTTCTATTGATATATATATTAATTTATTTTTTGTATGTTGAAGTAACCTTGCATTCACGGGATGAATCTCACTTGGTGTACAATCCTTTTTATATACTGCTGGATTTGACTTGCTAATATTTATTTGAGGATTTTTGCTTCCAGAGTCACAAGAGATAGTGATCTGCGGTCATATTTTATTGTGATGTCTTTGCACAGTTTTGGTATCAGGTAGTACAGGCCTCATAGAATGAGTTGGAAAGTGTCCCACTCATCACTTTTTTCTTATGTTTTATTGAGGTCATAATAGTTTACAACACTGTGAAATTTCAGTTGTACATTATTATTTTTCAGTCACCATGTATATGTGCCCCTTTCCCCTCATGCCCACCCTCAAGCCCCTTCCACTCTGGTAACTGATAACCTGTTCTCTTTGTCCATATGTTTGTTTATCTTCCACATGAGTGAAATCATACGGTGTTTGTCTTTCTCTGTCTGGCTTATTTCACTTAACATAATACCCTCAAGGTCCATCCAGGTGGTTGCAAATGGGATGATTTTGTCTTTTTTTTTTTTTTTTTACAGCTGAGTAGTATTCCACTGTATATATACCACATCTTCTTTATCCATTCATCTGTTGATGGGCACTTGGGCTGCTTCCACATTCTGGCCTTTGTGAATAATGCTGCAGGGGTGCATGAGTCTCTTTGAATTGTTGATTTCAGGTTCTTTGGGTAAATACTCAGTAGTGGGATGGCTGGGTCGTATGGTATTTCTATTTTTAATTTTTTGAGAAATCTCCATACTGTTTTTCATAGTGGCTGCACCAGTCTGCATTCCCACCAGCAGTTTATGAGGGTTCCTTTTCCTCCACATCCTCTCCAACATTTTGCTGTTTTTTTCTCTTGGTGATCATAGCCATTCTAACAGGTGTAAGGTGATATCTCATTGTGGTATTCATTTGCATTTCCCTGAGGATTAGTGATGCTGAACATCTTTTCATGTTCCTCCTGGCCATCAGTGTATCTTCTTTGGAAGAACATCTGTTCATTTCCTCTGCCCATTTTTTGATTGTTGGTATTTTTGTTGTTGAGTTGTGTGAGTTCTTTCTATATTTTGGAGATTAACCCTTTGTCAGATATATGACTTGCAAATATCTTCTCCCAGTTGGTGCGTTGTCTTTTCATTTTGTTCATGGTTTCCTTTGCCTTGCAGAAGGTTCTTTAGTCTGATGCAGTCCCATTTGTTTTTTCTTTTGTTTCCCTTGTGCGAGATACGATATTTGAAAAGATCCTTCTAAGACCAATATCAAAGAGTGTACTGCCTAGATTTTCTTCTAGGAGTTTTATGGTTTCACATCTTACCTTCAAGTCGTTAACCCATTTAGAGTTAACTTTTGTGCATGGTCTAAGATAATGGTCCACCTTCATTCTTTTGCATATGGCTGTCCAGTTTTCCCAACACCATTTATTGAAGAGACTTTCCTTTCTCCATTGTACGTTCTTGGCTCTTTTGTCGAACATTAGCTGTCCATAGATGTGTGGTTTTATTTCTGGGCTTTCGCTTCTGTTCCATTGATCTGTCCCATTTTTCACTTTTGATCAAGTATTTGTAATAAAAAGCTAGAAACAGAGGCCACCCTGGTTGAACAATTGTTGGGCTTCAGTTTAAAAACCCAAAGTCTATTTCGGCTCACCCAGGGCATGCGCTGCCGTGGGGTTCCCGCCCCACCTCTGCTGAGCAGAGCAAATGGACTTTTAAGTGGAGTTGGCCGGGAAAGTGAATCTGACCAGCTGCTCTCCATTTAAAAAAGTACTAACTTTCCACCTTTACTCACACCCACAAGTAACAGGGGAAAGAAAACCACTGAGAAATCTGGTGTATTTCTGGGCAAAACATCAAAAGAAGATTAAGATGCTGTCCAAGGTGAGGAGAGAAAGGCATTTTCGGTTCTGTTGGGATTTCCTGTGGAAAGAGTTCCAGAGGAGCCCAGATCCCACCCACTTCCAGAACACCCACCCCCCCACCTCCTCCTCACAAGGGCACAGAAGAGGACGTGACTGCACGGGGCTCACTCCTTATCAGGGAGCAGCCAGCGCACCCCTATAGCCCATGGCTGAGTAACTGTGACAGACCCTGCAGCAGAGGGTGGCCCTGGCTGGGCTGCTCTTTCTCCTTCAACTTACCTCTCCCCCAGGTAGTCCCCAATGACGGTTTTATTTAGACCTTCTCCTTTATACAGGAACTGGGCCACGTCTTCTGGGGAACTCTGCAGCAGGTCATTCTCTATTAGGAACTGAATTCCCTGAAGAGGAACAGAAGAAACGAAGCACCGGTTAGGAGGGTGACCCAGACTCATTTTTCAAAGACACAGATACGTTTAGTGTAACCACCTTACTGATCTGGACACAGGAAAAATAATACAACAGCACAACCTGATTCTCACATCGCCACACTACCAGGCACACGTCCAAGAAAAGCAAAGCGAGACATTCATTCCTCCTGGCAATTTAACAGGTTCAAGGACAAGTGGGTTACGGAGCAAACCATTCTAAGTGGTTGTTAGAGATGACACAGGCAGAAGTAACAATAATGCCAGATTTCCCAAGCTCAGGAAGAGGGTCTGCTCTGTGTCTGACAGGAACACGTCGCACGTGGGTGGCCAACCCCATACGCGTTACCAAGTCCCTCTTTCCTCGCCATCCTTCACTAAATAATCACTTCCCTAGCCTTCCTCGCAACTAGAAATGACCTTGTGACACAGATTTGGTCAAACAGATAGAAAGAGAAGTCTGCAGGGGGACCTAGGAAAGCTGCTGGCTTCCTGATAAAAGGGGCCCCGTGAGTAGGCACTGTTCCTTCCTCCTCCTGCCCACCTCAAACACACATGTGATGACCGGAGCCCCAGCAGCTGCTGTATGAGGGAAAGGCAGGCATGAACACAGAGCTTTGGTCCTGCCCCTTGAGATCCACTCAACACCCTGCAGCTACCTCTGCTGTGGGAGAAGACAGCCCACTGTGTAAGCTGTCTTCACAGGATTTGCTGTTACCTGTGGCCGGGCATGTTAACTGATCACCAAGCTTAAGGCAGTCAAAGTTCCCCACCACTCGAAGGACCTATGGAGAGCAGCCAGCCATCTCTGAATAGAAGGCTGCAGAGGGGCTGCCCCGGCCTGAGCGAGCTGTGCTCCGTCTCACAAGAAGCCTTAATAGCAGCAAAAATGTACCTCGGACATAGCTCTGAGCTGGTTTCAAAACACATGTTGGCAAAGCAAGCAAGAGCATAGGGAATCCTGTCATCTACTTATCTAGAGGCTATTTCTACGAATTCAGACATGGTCTTCCACTAAAACTCTCAGTGCCCGAGACAGGGCTCCCTCACGCTGTTATTTGTTTCAAGCGTGTGTCTCAATCAGAATACAGGTGGAGTTTCCTATTGTGTTTGTAGCCTAACACGAAAGCGTCTGTCTCTTAAGAGGTTAACTGAGCCCAGTCGGATTTATGGTGCTTACTGGTTTGCTAGGACTTAGTCCTGACCCCATTCTGTCCTCTTTCTCATACCTTGTCAGCCTTTGTTGAATTGACCAAGCCTTCCTTACAAGTTTTCCTAATAATTTAGAAATCCTATTTTACTGCTATTCTTAGTGCTTACTCTTAAGATTTTAACGAATATTTACACTTGCATTCATCTACCAACACCTAGACCACCTTGCCCAACTGACTGCCCTCCTTGCTACTTACATACTGAGAGTCTTAGAGAATCCGGTCCTTCTTTCCTGGAAACTCGAGTGACTTTCTCTTTATCCCCAAGTTTTTCTGGTATTTTACTCGATACACAGACATGTATGGGTCCACCCACATTCTCTCTTTGTTACAGCCCAGCTCTCAGGTTTTTACATGACACATTGTTTCATTGCCAAGGATCTCTTTCACAACTCTGCTTTTGCATCACGGATAAGCAACATCCCATCATATCTCTTTGATGAGATTTATAATATATAAAATACCCTACTTTTGATGTTTCCTTCTGCTGTTTCTAGGAGGTCTGTTTCCTCTGGTGTTAGTTCTTCTGTTTGTTGAGTTTCATGTCTCTTTCGTGGTCTCGGTTTCCTCATACACTTGGTGATTCCTGGTTGGGTGTCCACTGCTGAATTTTAAAGATCCTCTGACAGCCTAACTGAATGCCATTTATTTCTGGTTTTTTCCTGTAGCCGCCTCCAGAGATCTAGCAGAGGAGTAGGAGATGCAGCCAGATGGGGTGTGCCAGTAGCTGGTCTTTTGGGAGCGAGGGTTTCTCTTTCTTAGTGATGCTAACTACTGAAGGCACAGCCTGTTTTCATAGACTAAGTGGCCCCTTTTGCTTCTCCCACCTGGGGGCATACACGACTGCTTGGTGCAAACTCAGCAAGGACAGTCTAGACGTCCCTTCTGCGGTCGATGCCCCACACCTGCTGCCTCTGAGGATGCCGAGCCCCTGACGCTGCTCTCCCTTACCGGAGCAGTTCTTTCTCATATGTGCTTTGGGCTGTCACTCATCTTGTGTCTTTCTTGTGTCAGGCATTCCTCAATTTCTAGTCCACTCAGTGACCTCCTGCTTGTTATGGATTTATATGTTATATTTTTAAAGGCATTTCTAGGAAACTGGGAATAAAAGGGAGAGGCTACCGAGTGTCTTCAGCTTCCATGATCTCATCAACCTTTCCTCTTATTCATTTATAAACCCAAGTGCTACTTCTGGCTCTCTAATGCACCTGAACACATCAGAGCTCTCTGCTCAAAATGTTGTTACTCTGTGACTTAATTTCCCACTAGCCTGAAAGAATGTGCCTACTCTGAAAATAGCCTGTTTCACAACATCGCAAGGTTTAATAGGTGCAGGAGGGGAACAGAATTTGGAACTGCCTCTGAAGCAGGCGAGATCACCCAGTGCTGTCAGGGACTGAAGTCTGAGGCCCCCGAAAATTCCTCAGTTGAAGCCTGACCCCACTGTGATGGTATTAGGAGGTGGGGCCTTGGGGCAGGGCCCTGATGTGATGGAATCAGTGCCCCCATAAGAAGAGTCACGAGACAGCTTGCTCTCTCTGCCATGTGAGGACACAGCAAGAAGACGGCCATCTGTGAGCCAGGAGAAGGGTCCTCCCCAGAGTCCGAACATGCTGGCTCCTGGATCTTGGACTTCCAGCCTCCAGAACTGTGAGAAAGTGAATTTCTGTTTTTAAGCCCCCAGTCTACGCTATTTTGTTGGGGTGGCCTGAGCTGACTAAAAGAAGTGCTACAAGCAAATCGACAAAACCAGAGAATTCTGATAATTTTTCCCAGCGAAAGCAAACACGCAGACTAAATGTGCCTTCTGCTTTTATCGAGCAATAGAATTACAAATGAGTTCCCGAATGCAACCAATAATATTAAGAAGAAAAAACCTTTTAGGTGAAGAGGAATGCAAAAACAAAAAGCCTGTAGGGCAGCTTGCCGCAGCCCAGATGAAGCGGATGATGAAGCGGATGAAACACCCACTTCCTGAGCCGCGGTCGGCAGACACCACAGGGCTGACGGTGGTCTGAGCCATCCAGGCTGCCTCGGGGCTCCCTACAAACCAACCCCAGCGTCTGCGGGGGGCTCGGTCAGTGCGGTGTTTACAGGCACGACCCTCCCAGTCAGATTCCTTGCTCAGGACACTGGGCGGGAGAGTTCCTGGCCCTTATTACTGTAAATCTGACACACGGTACGAGTGAAGGACAGGCAAGAACCTGACAGAGGACTTTCTAAGAACCGAGGGTAAGTTCACGCTCAGGAAACCAAGACCCAAGGCAGAGTGCACCACTTCAAAAAAAAAAAGTATTTGTCTGTTTCAGGAGCAAGATCTGAATTTATCCGTGAACTCACTGGTGTGCTGTCCTGTGTTGCACTCTAAAACGTAAGGTCTAGTTTTAAAAACACCCACTTGTTACACGATCTCTCTCCTGAGATGCCCCCAATGCTTATTAAATCAGCTGATACTTCAACTCCGTAAGCTCAACTTCTTAAAAAGAAAAAAAAAAAAACTGTAACTAACCCCAAATATCAAATCATTACCATATTCACAAAATTGTCCCCAGTGACAATTTGGAGATGATTTATGCCCATAAGCAGGGAATTAGGAAGCAACAGAGAAATGTTCACAGTGGCTGGAGGGCAGCAGTTAAACAAAGACCCTCCTCCGGCTGGAGAGGTGCTGTACCTGAAGAAAATCCAAACTTGCAAACCGTGAACAGGGAATAACAGTGCCTATTTCTTTAAGTAACATTTGCAACTGTGCTTGCAGCTATAAATGTAAGCTTACAGATCTCAGACCTTGCACGGTTAATGTTAATCCCTGCAATCAACAAATATTTATTGAAGGAACAAATAATTAACTAGTACGGAGGCTCGATGCCAAAAAAAACAAGGAAGACGTTCGAAGTGAACACCGATTAAAGACGAATGAGGAATGAGGTAAACCAGCTCCGTGGCTGAAAGTCAACCAGGGTGAGGGCGCCAGGCGACCTCTCCACGGACACGCCTCTCCTCTCCTGGACCACGAGCCTCTGTGGCCGACTCAGGTCCACTCTTCTGTCTCAAAACCAAAACAACCTTACAACTGAGCCACATAGTCCAAAAAGATTCATAGATTCTGCTAAGTCCTGTAGCTCAGACTCAGAAACAAGCAGTGACATGTTGCAGGCTTCATTATGTTGGGGAGTTTTCCTAGAAAACCCACTTGAAAAAAGACCAAGATATTGGCTTAAATCTGCAGAGTTCCTGGGTCTTTCGTACAGACATCCTCTTTTTAAGGTAAAGGAAATGAAGGAAAGGAATGAAGTCTTCTTTCTTGAACCATTTAACCCACCTAGACCATAAAATCTACAAACTGCCCAGCTGGACTCCCCTCTGTCTCTGCCCCCACGAACCAGGCGACCCCCTGGCTGTGGGGTCTGAACACGTGTCCACGTGGCTCAGGTGAGGCCAGTCCTCACTCAGAACTTCACCCAGAAAGAAAGGTCTTTCGGTCGGGGGACCAGTCCGATGGATGCGTTTGCTTCAGCCCGCTCATTAGCAGCCCCTTTTTTGATAAAAATTTAACATCAACGCTCAGTATTTTTATGAGGTCGTATAACCACCTTTGTCCAAAAGGGAGACAGCCGCTAAAATCAGTCAGCCAGTCTCTTGCGGGCCAGAAAACGGAATAGGCTCTCTCACCTTTTTGGGGTCCATGTTGAATTTCTTCCTCCCCATCGCGATCTGCTTGTTCCGCTGAGTCGTTTTGCTACGCGTGTGGAAGGAGCGAGACACGGTTACGGGCTGTCTGTGCCGCGCTCACTGGTGAGCGCGCGGCCTCCCACGGGGCACTCCCCCCACGACGGCGACCACAAGGACCACAACGGCTGAAGGGAGGCACGGCTCCCGGCGCCCTCCCCGCTCCGGGTGGGAGCAGTGGCTGGCCGGCTGCCGGGGCTCTTTTCTACCTCTGATAACTTCTCCAGGAAAAGCTAACGAGAACCAGCGATGGAGGAAAAGCACAGCTCCCTGTCACACGGAACGGTTACCTGTGACAGGTGAGTTCGGAGGCGCCAGTGCCTCTTCCTGAACTACAAGGGTACACAGTGAACTAGAGAAGGCAGGGGAGAGAAGCAGCCCCAGAGAAGGACCCCGACTCCTCCACAGACAGCAGGAAGGAGGGAGGGGTGGGGAGGAGACGAAATGACTCCAGAAAGGCCCCCCACTTCCCGGTCCCAACATCCTCCCCCGCCGGTGTCACCGCAGTCGGCACGAGCTCCGCTGGAACGGGGGGAAAGAGATGAAGGAACTCGAAGGTGCGGCCGCATCGTTTACCTCTCCTCTACGGAAGTCAGGTTGTCGATCTCCGTCATCACTTCAGCAATTTCGTATTTCAGTCTCTGTCAAAAGAGCAGAAAGGACGGCGGAGTGGGAGTCTGGACTTCCTCCTCCTGGACCCAGAGACATCCTAGCCCTCCGGGGGCACGCTGCCCCGAGGTCCCACCTGGACATCACGGGCATGGAAAACCAATCCTTTCTATTGACAGAGAGAGTGGCCTGGTCAGCACCACCCCCACTCAGGAGAAGACAGAATTATTTATTCCTCCACCTCTCGTCAGGATGAGATTAGGGGGTCCCCTAGGCAGATCCTGGAGTAAATGTGTGTAGAATCGAGAAGGGACACTGGAGAGAATATCACAGGTGCAAAAAGATAAAAACAGCAAAAGGAAACAAGGGGTCCTTAGCTCACTCACTGCAGCCTCCAGCTGTCACCCCACTCAGCTCCACCACCCTTCCCTTCACTGCCACCCCCGTCCGGGGTAAGATGGGGAGAAGGTACCGCGCGTAAACACATTCCTCAGTCCCCGAACCACCAGTCTCAGGGTGATTTCCATAACTGTGCGTGAGATGAAGCACCATGGACAGAGCCCAGGAGGTGACAACAGAACTTGCCTGTGGCACTCGGACTCCTCTGTTCCTCCATGTGGCTCCATCACTCACTGCGAGACCTTTGGAACCCTCTTAACCTCTCTGGGCCTAGGCGCTCTAACTCAAAAATGAGGTCCTTAGATCTATGTAAGACTCCATGGACACTGTTATTACTAATGACCAAACAGGACCATTAACCTTAAAACATCCTCTTCTTCAACCAAAGCACCCATTCTGGATTTCTGAAGGGTCGCGGGTAGGAACGAAGGGTACCTTTAGAAGAAAAAGCTCCACGGAATCAGCTTTCCAATACAAAGAAATTTTTGTTCAGAACCCTACTATTTTGCGTGCCAAGAAACTTCAGACTGAAAATGTGAGCTTCTAGAAAGGAGCTATTGTCTGGACAAGGCCTGGTCTTGCACAAGCAGCCTGTCAGGCCACACTGATTCTGGCATGACAAAGATCAGGAAGCTTCTCAAAGAAGATCCACACGTCTGGTTGATTGCCCAAGGAAGCCCCAAACGGAAGCCGCGAATGCTGGTCTTCTGCATAATCTCTGCCACAATTACAGACACTCAGATTCTGAGACTGCGGCCCCACTCCTGCACTTCTCCCACGGGACGCCCTCCACCCTATCCTCTGAGGACACAAATGCAGAAACAATGTTTATCCGCCTGTGTTGTATGCATCATTCTACGCCCACCAGCTAGCAGGTGCTGGGGGCACGGTTAGAACTCAATATACGTTTATTCACTTATTCAAAAGACCTGAGCACCAAAACTGTGACAGGCAATGTTCTAGGTGCTAGGGATACTGATAAATGAAACGAGTCTCATTACACAATTTCAGCAAGCAGTATGCTTGTGGATTGCTGCTGTTGCTTAAAAATGCCGGGGCCGGCCCAGTGGCGCAGTGGTTAAGTGCACACGTTCCACTTCGGCGGCCCGGAGTTCGCTGGTTCAGATCCCGGGTGCGGACATGGCACCTCTTGTCAAGCCATGCTGTGGTAGGTGTCCCACATATAAAGTAGAGGAAGATGGGCATGAATGTTAGCTCAGGGTCAGTCTTCCTCAGCAAAAAGAGGAGGATTGGTGGTAGATGTTAGCTCAGGGCTAATCTTCCTCAAAAAAAAAAAAAGAAAAAAATGAAAAAGCTCTTTGTGACTCTGGAATCACGTGTCACTGACTCCCGACTCTGCTTCCATGACGTCTTCTTTTCCATCCCAGGGTCTGCATACCTGGTAAGTCAGATCTCTGCTTTATCAACCCGGACAACCATCTTACTCTGTCACTTCTTGTGGCTCGGACATACACATACTAGATACCCATTTTTCACATTTTCATGAAGCTATTTATTAATTTACCTAAAAGCAAAAACTAAAGGAGATTGTTTTTTACCTCAATGTCATCAATAAGTTCCTTTTTCCTTCGACGAATGTCTAAAAGTTCTTCTCTCTCTTCTAAGGAGAGGTCTTCAGGCACTGAAAGAAAAAAAATCAGATGAAACAATTAAACAACTACTCTGGAGAGCAATCTGGCAACATCTAGTGAGGTTGAAGATGGGCATACGAACAAGCCAGCAATTCTGTAGGTAGGTATTTATCCCAAAGGAACCCTAGCATATAGACCACAGGTAAGATATTCATAGCAGCTTTGTTCATCATAGAAAAACAGTATGGAGATTTCTCAAAAAAATTAAAAATAGAAACACCATATGATCCAGCTATTCCACTTCTGGGCATTTATCATAAGAACATGAAAACACTAATTCGAAAAGATATATCCACCCCTATGTTCATCGCAGCATTATTCACAGTACCTAAGACTTGGAAGCAACCCAAGTGCGCACCAATGGATGAATGGATAAGGAACATGTGGTACATACACACGATGGAATACTACTCATCCATAAAAAAGGGCAAAATGGTGCCATTTGCGACAACATGGATGGACCTTGAAGGTATTATGCTAAGGGAAATACACCAAACAGAGAAAAACAAATACTGTATGATTTCACTCATATTTGGAAGACAAACACATAGATAAGGAGAACAGATTGGTGGTTACCAGAGGGGAGAGGGTAGGAGTAAGGCAAAAGGGGTAAAGGGGCACATATGCATGGTGACAGATGGAAACTAGACTTTTGGTGTGAAGATGATGCAGTCTATATAGAAGCTGAACGATAATAATGTACACTTGAAATTTACACAATGTTATAAATCATTGTGACTTCAATAATATTTTTTTAAAAAAGAAAAACAACCTAAATATCCACTAATAACAAAATGAATAAACTGTGGTATGTTTATAAAACAGAATCCCACAAACAATTAAAAACCACAGCTGAACTGAGTCTGTCAACACACATGAGCCTCAGAGATAGAACAGAGATGATGAAAGACTGAAGGCTCACACTGTACACACATACCCTGTTTCACTGTGTTCACGGATACTGCGTTTTTCACAAACTGAAAGTCTGTGGCAACCCCGCATGGAGCAAGTCTACGGGCGCCATTTTCCCAACAGCGTTTGCTCACTTCATGTCTCTGTATCACATTTTGGTAATTCTCACAATATTTCAAACTTTTCCATTGTTATAATATATTGATATTTTATATTATATATTAAGGTGTGTACTTTTTGTAGACACAGGGCTACTGCACACTTAATAAACTACAGTACATTGTAAACATAACTTTTACATGCACTAGGAAACCCAAACACTCAAGTGACTCGCTTCGTTGCGGGATTGGCTGCATCGCAGTGTTCTGGAACTGGATCGCAGCATCACTGAGGTACGCCTGTATACAACACCTTTCGCAGAGGGCTGAAAATTGAGAATGTGGATTTGTAAATGTTTGGAGATGTACATAAATGTACAGCAGAGGCTAAATAAATGCACAGCAATGATAAACACCAAATTCTTGACAGTGGTTCCTTCTGAGAAGGGTGGGCGGGAGGAAATACATTCCAGAAGGATATCAGGGAGTTTCAATGCAGCGGGGGAAGGGTGGCTGGTACAAGGATATTTGTTGAGGTTTTGTTTTTACTGACACAGAGTTGACCATAAAATCCTCTTATTAATTATTCATCTCCGCAATATTTTCCATTGATACTATGTCTATAGTCTCTCTTTTCTTTAATTGTGCTAGAATTGGTTTATTCCATTAAGCTTTTCAAAGAAATAGCTTTTAATAGTCCTCTATTGTGTGCTTAATTTCTATCTCATTAATTTGATTAAAGAAATGAAAGATTAAGAATCTGAGTAAATAGCAAGAGAAGATATGGAGCTTCTACAAACAAATTAAGATAATGTGATGATGGGGCAGGGGTGGACAAACTGACCGATGAACCAGAAGACAGTAGCCGGAAAAATACCCACAGCCCCACAGAAAACTGATTCACAAAGAACTCTCGAAAAGACATCTATCTCTTCAGCATATGAGATGCGCTCTATCAGATATCCACACGTAAAAAATGAAACCAAATCCCCTATTTATAATCATATATATTTTCAAACAACTCCAAGCAGAATAAAGGCTTAAATGTGAAAGGCAACCCTGCACAATTTTTAGAAGTTAAATACAGGAGAATGTGCTTATGATTTCAGAGTGAAAAAAGACTTCTTAAAAGATAGGGAAAAAAATATAAATCACAAAGGAAAATATTAATAAATTCAATATTAAAATAAAGAACCTTTGTTTAGCAAAAGTTTCACAACATAAAGTGAAAAGCTAAGCCAGAAACTGTCAAAGGATTGGTATCCAGAATATTTAACTCCCACAAATAAGGAAAAAATAAAAAACAACGCTTACAAAGTGGGCAAAAGACTCGAACAGGCGCAAGCTCAAATAATATGAGTGAGCAGAAGGAACGATGTCGACTCTTTTAATATTGGGAGAATGCACATTAAAACCTCAATAAGACACCGCCTCTAAAACAGTAGTAAACTTCACGAAAACTACAAGAAGGCCATTTGTCAATAGGACAAAGATAATGGGAAAAGAGAGAGTAACAACACATTTCAGAAGCTGGAAGAGACGGGACCAGCGGTAACTGACTTAACCCATGGGAGAAGGATGACTCTGAAGCCAACAGTGGCCAGACCAAGGAGTCACCTGGCACCACTGACTCCTCCAGAAGGGCTAGGTACTGCTGCCCCAGGGGAGCCTGCAGGCAGGCTGAGAAGGGGCCTGGACGAAGGCTGCGGGAAAGCTCCCGGACAGCCTCACCTCTTCTCCCAATCCGCAGAAGACTGGCTTGTTTATCCCTAGAGACGAAAACAGAGGAACCAGGGGACACCCAGTGCACGTGAGGGCAAGGCCGTCACACCAAAGACAAGGGACGCAATCAACGCTCACAGGCCCCTGCCAAGCCTTCCTCCCCATGGGGCTCTCAGACGGCCGGCAACCAGCCCTTTACGCCCACCTGCACCATCTTGGACAAGAGGTTGGGAGGGTCTTCTCTGCAGAATCAATTAGCTTTCCATCTAAAGATACTGACATTGGCCGGGGTGGGCTTCACCAAGGCTGGGGGGATTCCAACAACAACCAGCACACCCAGATCACCCCAGGGGGAAATGCAGTCAGCAACGCCTCATGCACTCAGAGCTTCCAACGAGCCTTTTAGCCCTGCACTCTCAAACTGGAGGTAAGCCTCCAATACGCAAAACACATACCAAAAAAGACACAGAAAAGCTAAAAGAGGCACAAGTGGTTACACCCTGGAGAGCAAGAAATGTTGTGGGCAGGGCAATGACGTGTTTTCTCCACTACATACACCTCACAGAACCAGTCAAGTCTCTAATACAAATTTAACTGATTAATATAAAAACCTGAAAAAAAAAAAACCATGTATTTCAAACTCACCAGACTGGCGCAAAGGAAAGGAGGAAGAAGAAAAGAGGGAGGGAGGGAGGGAGGAAGTCTGCTGGGAGGGTCAGCTGGCACGGCCACTTGGGAAAACAGCTTGGTGCTGCGTATTAAGATCAAAGGTGTGCATGAGCTATGCCAGCAGTTTTACTCCAGGGTATACATATTAGAAAAATTTTGAGCCTGCATCAGAGGATGGGTATAATAAGGTCAAAGAAGCATATTTTGTAAAAGGGAGGGGGAAAAGGAAATAACCTACATGCTCACCCAGAGTAGAATGGGTAAGTATGTTGAATATTCATACAGTGAAATCCCAAACAGTAGTGAAAATGAATTAAATACAACTATAAGCAATAAATGGATGACCTCAGGAAAGTAATATGGAAATGAACACTTCCTATAAATCTCAAAAACATAAAAAATTACACAGTGTATTGTTTATGTATACAAATATATATATGTAGCAAAGCAAATAACTAGAATGGTAAATACAGAATTCAGAATAATATTTACCTTTTAGGATGGAAGAAAGAGAATGGAATTAGGAAGGGAAGCACAAAATACTTCAAAAGTAATGTTAACACTCTTTTTCTAACAAATATCATTATTCTTTTACATAATACAAACAATTTTAAAATTTTCAAATATTTAATGAAAACATTTTAAATAATTAAGCAGCATTTTTGATCCTTGAGTTTCAAAAGTACTTCCACAAATTAATTATGACAACTCCGGGAATTTACAGGTCTGGAAATTTAGATGAGGCAGAGAAAGATCTTTTCCTATAAATTACTGCATCCAGTAGATTTCAGCTCAGAAAATTCACTGCTATTCAGTAATTCAAACCAACAGTCAAATGAAAAGAAGGAAAAAAGCTGGCCATATCCCAAATAAGCCAAAGAGATTTCATATTTTCCATGTCATCTGATATCAAAAAGTTGATTATCAGGGAAAATAACTTCTTGACGGCAATTATTATGCAGAAAGAAGAAAATTTATTAACGTTCTCTTGGGTACTGTTGGGTACTGTGTCAGAGCCCTCACCAGTTAAAAAAAATTTCATTGAAACATGAATTAAGGACATTACGCTCATGAAAAAATAACATACATGGCAAAGTAAAAGAGAAATTTTGAAAAACATACTAATTTTCTGCAGATCATTGTTCACTTCTTTTTGCTCCAAACAGAAAAAAAATGCAACGTGCTTTACAAAGATCCAGATACTAAATACAATCAACACAAGATTTCTAATTTCCTGCTTCCTGCATCAGATCTAAGCTTCAATAAATTCCACCTTAGCAATGTTCTTAAGCAATCCTTGGTGCCAAGCAACTAATGAGGAAAGAACTATCATTTACTGAGCAACGCTACACTGGGCTACGTGCTTTAACAAATTATCCCAATTAAACCCAAAAAAAACAACTTTGAGAGCAGCCATTATTATTCCCATTATATAACCTAGGAAACTGAAGCCAAGAGAGGTCTAATGATCTTCCCTGGAGAGAGAGAAAGAATATTTGAAGAAATAATGGCTAAAGTGTTCCTAATAGGATGAAAGACATGAGTATACACATGCAAGGTGCTCAAACTCCAAGCAGGATAAACCCAGA